TTATATTGATTGGTTGAAAATGTCATACATGAGTATACAATCAATGATTTCTACAAATTTTCATTAGATCTTCTTTGCGTGTTCGGTTCTGGGGACAGTTTTCTATGGATACTTTTTTGCCTTCCATCTTCTCCACATGGCTGAGTTGAACCAGTTATTAAAAAGAGTCATTGCTGCGGTAACCACCAATGGTAAGAGATCATATACTGATGAGTAGATCACTATTCTGCCCCTCGTCAAAAAATGTACAATGGTAATCTGGTTCATATGTCTGTTTGTCCATCAAGACTTACATATGACACAATAAATTGCTTATCTTTCAACATAGAGACTTTATACATGTAAATAGGTGGAGGTTGGTTGGAAGGAGATACCAACAGTTTTTGGTTCATTTGTCAAATGTCAAGGTCATAGGTTAAGATAATTGCTATATTCATTTCACACTTATGCAACAATTTGAATATTTCTTTTCCTTCAAATTTCATTACATACTAAAAGGACAGCAAACCGTTAGCAAGAACGTTTGTAGAATTTTTGTACAACAAGTCAAAGTTCAAGGTCAGAGGTTGTGAAGATGAAACACATTTGATACAAAAGCATAGATACATGTATTTCTCAGGCTACAGTCCTCTTTCTTCAAAATAGAGGAGAGTTTGAAATATATGTACCTGTAACAGGGTGAAAAATGAAGTCTCAACTGGGTCAAAAAGGTCATTGATATTTATTTTCCCATGAATACATGTTTTGAAGCACAAAAACTTGTACAAGATGAGTACATAAATGACTTAATTCAACACACGATTACAAGAAATGTAGATTTTAAGACCACTTGCCTAAAGTTCATAGTCATAATTAAGCATTGCATGGTATTGTCAGTATTTTGTTAAGGTCTTTAAAAATTGAGAAAACAATATTCATGGATTGCAAATTATTTACAATTAAATATGTAAGATTTGCTGAGGGGGAACCTGTCCATTCAACTACAAATCAGAACATTCTGATTATTATAAGATTTTCTTTGGGAAATTTAAGTTGCGCTACAGACTAACAAAACTATTTTCTGATAGGTAAATCCCTGTTGATGGTGGCATTACTGGGTCTGGCTGTGTTTTTCTGCTACTCACTCATCTCGTTCGCCTTCTTCCGTGAAGTTTTCTTCCAGGAGTCTGCGGGACGGCACTGTAGAACAGTGTACCAGTGTTTCATCACCATGATCCACCACGGCTTTGTGGATACACCTTACACGGTAAGCTATTGTAAAGAATATTGTGGCATAATGTTGCATAGCAATTACACTGATATGTACTCTCTTGACAGGAAAAAACAATGTTTAATGATCCAAATAGACTTTTTAAAAATACTGTTTTGGCATTTTGTAATGCTTTTTATTTTGTGGTTTTAATTATTATACCCCCTTTTGAACAGACTATTGAAGGCCTGATGGATGATAATTGGGACAGAGTCATATACGTTACTATTTTTGACGTGACCTTCTTCATCCTGGTTACTACAGTAGGATTGAACATTATCTTTGGTATCATAGTGGACACCTTCTCCCAACTCAGAGATGCCAAGGTATGGATGCCCACCTAAATTAATGTTTCTGTTTGTAGCAGTTGTAAAAGCAAAGCTTCTCACTTGGTGGAGTTAGCTCTAATTAAGTTGGGCAAAGAGTACAAGTGTACTCTGCACACTACGTTCTAATCCTACATATTAACACATACATGGGTCTCCAAGACCACAGAAAAATGAGTCCAGTAACATTTTATTTCGACAAAGGTGCTTGAATTCAATACATGTATGTCCACAGCAAGGACATTTTTGAAACAACATTAAATAAAACTCCTCTTATTAAATCAATTTTACTACTCTTATATATATATGTTAATTATTGTAATTACAGTGGGAGATTGACAAGGATATGATGAATAACTGCTTTATCTGCAGCAGGGAGTCTTACGATTTTGAGAGACATGGCAATGTAAGTTTATAAAATCTAGTTCTGTACCCATCTATTACTTCTAATCATGTCATTGACATCAGACTTTATATACAATCAACAAACAGCTTCCATTTCATTCTGGTGACTAGGAATTTACCATTTTTACTCAATATCTAGTAACATCAAACTCTGGGGAAAAAAGGTCAATACTCAATACAAATTTGACAAATCTAAAACAAACAGGCCTAAAATTTACTATTTGATATCAAAATTTAAATACACAGATTTTTGCAATATAAATACTCTTAAATCATTTTCTACAGGGATTTGAGAGACACGTTAGACAGGAACATTACCAGTGGGCCTATCTATTCTTCTTCCTCCACTTGGATGAGACGCGGCCTAATGACTACACTGCTCTGGAACTTCATGTATTTAATCAGCTCCAGCACAATGTCTACGACTTCTTCCCCCTCAACAGAGCTCTCAGTCTTATGAACGAGGAGAACACAAGTGAACGCAAACTGGAGAGCCTCCGAATAAATATCGAATACATGGTCAACAAAATGAAAGAAGAGGTAATGCTTCTAAATGAATGTTTAAAAAAAATTTACCAAGTTTGAGACTACAGAATTTGTTCAGAAATTTTATAAGGTATGATGAGCAACAAAAATTTACATGAATTCCTGGTGTAAAAAAGGGCACTTTCTCAAGTTTCTGTGTTTTGTTTGACATCTACAGGAGGCAGCTAAAGAAAGGGAAAAGGAGAGACAAAAACAGATTGCCTGGGAGGCTGAACACAAGGCAACAAAGTCAGCAGGCCAGAAAGAATAAACAAAGACTGACCAATCAGAGCAAACAAAGACTGACCAATCAGAGCAAACAAAGACTGACCAATCAGTGCAAACAAAGACTGACCAATCAGAGGACGTTCTACTGTGTAACAGTTGGAGCGGGTTTTTTTTTTGTGAAGGAAAAAGGACATTTCTTTGTTTGAAAGAGTACGCAGTTGGTCAGAATATATATTTATATATTGTGGCATTATTTTACTTTCTTTTTTTTAAAAACAGATTTCAGCAAATATTTTGACTTTAAAGATGTGATAATGTTTGTCAATGATTACTCAGAGTAAGCCCATATACTGACATGATGTCTATACCCCTTTATATTAGACTGAATATTGTACATGTATAAAACTTTGTTCTTGCGAGATTTTCCTCTAAGGATGAGTGATCTGTGTTGAATGACTGTGACCCTCTTATGATTTGCTTGTTCGATCACTTGTTCGATCAGTACTTGAATACATGTACACATACTTTATTGATATATTAAAATATTTTTTAAAATGCTTGCAGTGCACAGCTGTTTTCAAAATTACCATGACATTTTACTATGAGTTGTATTTATGATTTTTATATAGCTCGAACGATGATATACTCCATGTATCTGAGCAGACAAGAAATGTAAACTGCAAATTTAATGATTTATGTGAATGTTTTATAGTGTTTTAGTATCTGTATAAGTGTAATGAAAATCGCAAATTCAAAAAAAAAAACCTGTTTGCAAACTGTATAGTATTATGATTCTCTGTGATATTAAGATTTTTTAATTAGATTCCTTAGATATTTTTAGTCTAGTTTTATTTAAAATTACTATTAATATATTTTCACCTGTATAGAAACATGTGTACACATGTATTTAAAAAAAAACAGCCTTGTAAAAGGCAATATCTTCTCTCAGAAAAGCAGAAGTGAAAAAAAAATCATACAATTCACCAGATTTACGTTTATTAAGTGAATTGGTCTTCTACTTAGCCATCCAATTCCGTCTACATGGATTTGTTACTTTTATTTTATTGTATTTATTTTGAATTTACATTTTCATGTGATACAATTTTGTTCATTCCATCCTTTGTTGTTATATTTTTATGTTTTTTTTTAATTTATTGTATAGTCCATGTTGTTTCTTCAGCTGTTTTATTTAGAATTTTGAGTTATAAGAAATCAGTGTGATACGCTCTGTGATGTTATAATCCTGGCAGTATTAATGTGATCTGATTAAAATAAATCATTGTGTTTTCAACATTTACATGTAAGTATTTAAAATTATATGTCTGAGAAATCTGCATTATTCAACATTTAAAATATGGACCCCCCCCCCCCCCCCAAATAAATGTAACGAACCAAACTGAATATCTTAAATTAGATTTTGTACAAAGAATTATGTATTTTACCTATATTGTATTTATTGCAGTCATGCACACTACACAAATTATTTAAATCTAATCTTACAACTTTAATTAATTGCCATTTTTCTTAAAATAGTATAAACTTTAACAGAAATCTAGTCTTTTGAAATATTCTGTTTATTTTTACAAATATCTTTGAAACCATTTGCAATATAATAATTGTACAATTCTTTCATGAAAGGCACAGAGCATTTTATATATATACCATTTGCCAGCCAGTAATGCTCAAGTTCATTTTGTAAAAAGACATTTTTTGTGTGTGTGACAATCATTACGCATTATAATTAAGGGATTGCTCTGTTTTTAAGAAGTATGTTTTCAATAAATAATAATAATGTATTTTTATTTCTACATACTGTATGTGTACTTAAGTGTATACTTTACAAAACTAAGCACAGCTGTATGTTGGGTATTTTTTGGCATAATCATTAAATATAGCATATGCAGTGTAATTTTATGTACGTAAATGATGAATTAATTACATGTATTATAACTACATGTATGTTTCAGTTCATAGTGTCATAATGTATAATAAGAATTTCTGATTTGATAGTTAATACATGTATATGTTTGGGCACCAACACACAAAAATTGTCTAAATATACCTAAGTACACACACAGTGTATAGCACCAATTCACATTATCTCTTGATATGAAGATTGAATGAAACCGCACCTCAATCGGATTCTGATGTGAACTCTAGCAACTGTTGAATGGTGTAAAACATTTAAAAATATTATTTGTTATTGTGCCTTTAATAAAATGTTATTTTCAAACTTTGCTTTATAAATGATCAAAGGAACATAAAAGTTCATTTTAAAATTTATTTTTAGCAGAAGCTTAAACTGATTTATATGATAACAAATTGAGGCGAAAGTTGCATGATTAATGGTCATGCTAACAAATCCATGGAATGTCTTATGATTTAAGGTCATGGTAACGTCACATGATTTAAGGTCGTGGTAATGATACTGAGCCAGCACATCCATAATAACCATCCTCTCCTAATCCATGTCGCTGAGACAGATGCAGGCTGTTAATGGTGAATTCTCCAAAGTCATAATGTCCAAACTTCTACAAAGGGAAATAAACATTTTATGCATACTGTTTACAATGACCCAGAGAAAATGAACACTTTCTCCAGTATTTGCCTACTTGGTGCTACATAACATGCATTTGTTTAGTACTTGCTGAACAAGTATAATAGACCCATGAAACTTGTTACCTAAGATCAAAGAGAATTATGACTGTAGATGTCAGGTGTTAGAGTGTTCTATTTCTACTGCTGCATAGAACATGAATTCTCCAGTTTACTTGTAAAACAATGCTTACAGCAACAGGGCTTGATTGAAACATATAACTTCAAGGCTCAAATTTTAATCAGAAGACATCTTGCTGGCTCTGGTAAAGATTAGTCTGCTTTTTGTGGATTCAATGAGTGGGTTGGGGGGGGGGATATTGAGCCACATATGTATATTTTCAAATGACAATTAAAATAGTTCTGTTTAATTTCAATGTATTAACACCAGGTGAATGTATGTGACTTTTTATCTGACGTGTATGAACAGATTCTGAAACAAGTTCAAAACCAAAACACGGAATTCATTAAAAAAGATTATTTCTTTTAATGATATGATAAATATACATGAATTTATAGTATGCATAAACATGAAAAACTGTTGGTGAAATTTATTTATTTTATTCTCTGATTCTGTGATTAATTTAAATATACATGTAGTGTTAAATTTTGTTCATTTATTGTTTGACTGGCTATTTCAAAGGCAAACTGGAATAAGAGGCCACCTGCCTTAAGTGGCCACTTTCAAAACTAATTCCCTACTGTGGCCTCTTAAAACAAGTTTGACTGTAATTAAAAGATTTTTCTACACAAATAAAAAATATTGGTGAAGCATTATAAAAATTTAAATCTTTTAAAAATTATTGAATGTATAGAAACTATTCAGACTGCATCATAGTTTAATTGTTACTTCCAAAAGGGTCAGATTAAATCTGAACTTTAAATTTGGACTATAAGGTCCCTCAAAAAATAAATAAATCTAACAGAGTGAATTTATTACGTGTATTTTGTTTACAATTTAACAATTGTTTATTTTTTAATTTGATTAAAATTATTTTAAGTTTTTCAAATTTAGTATCATAACCCTGTAAAAACCTACAACAGTTGTCAAGTTTATAAATTCATGAACCTTTTTTTAATTTGATCCCTGCTTTCAGTACTATTTCAGTGCTTTAATCATTGGAATATTGTGTGAAGAAAGGAAAACATTATGGTATAGGTTGTTTCCCATCCTGAACACAGTGTGACATACAACATATCTATGAAACACTTTTAATTAATCACCATACATTTAAATCACTCAAACAGAAAATAGCTAAAAAACAAATGAATCCAAAAAACCCCATCCCCACCCTTCAACATGTATACTTGTAGTCTTCATGAATTTGGCATGTGTGCTTTTGATGTCTATTATTGAACCAACTGTTCTGATGGTTTTTGTCAGAAAAATTGACAATTTCGAGAGATTTAGCAAACCAATGTAGTAGGGAATCTCCCCCCCCCCCTCCAAAAAGTCTGTGCATTACATCTTCACTTTTGCTAATGTTGAAATTCTAAACATTGACATACTTGTACATGTAGATCACACGGTACCCACATATGCAAGCTTGTATCTCCTTATTTGCTGTTTATTTCAATCAACTTGTATGTTTTTCTAAAGCATGAAGAATTAGTGCAACTACTGAAATAAGGAACTAAATACTTTCCACTCAAAAATATTATTTTTTTAAGTATTAAATACACTTATCTTGACTTTCAAAACATGATAAGTTTTGTGTATGTATATGTATTTAATTAAAATACTGATGTATTATAAATTCAAGTGGATTAGCTTTATAAAATTGAAAATTATCTGGAGATAACTTTCACTTTTACAGCACTTACAAGTACATGTACATGTAATAGTTACTAAACAAGAAGTGTAAGTCTTAAGTTATATTGTACAGGTACCTGTACACATTGGTTTGCTAAGCCTCTCTAATATTTCTACTATGACCTAAAAATTGAAGGAGAGTTCTTACTTTCATCACATTTGTGGCATCAAAGGACTCCCTTTCTTTATTGCCTCGTTTCCCCTCTGTGGGCCTCTCCCCTGCTATGGAGGTTGGGTCCCGCCTCATTAGAGTGTTCATAACTGTTACATGAAGCTTAACTCGACTATATTCCTGCTGCATTAGGCCTGTTGTAGAAAATCTGTCAACCAATCGATCTGCCAAAATCTGAAGCCTGTAATTTTAAATGAAAGATAACAATCTGGTGCTTACTTACAGTTTCTACCCATAATTAATTACCCATAAGCCAAGATTTTGCAAAAATAAAAATCTTTAAAATATTTTATAATATTTCATATGCTAAAGATTTTCAGAACTGTCTTCCATCAAAATAACCAAAATCTCTGATGAGACTGTAGCTCTTCTGGTTTTTACCTATAGTCAAAGACTTATGATCCTTGGCTTAGTCTCTTTTCGTGGCAAGTTTAATTGAAGTTGGACAAAAATTGTAGTAGGAGTAGCCTTTTGAAAGAATTTCACAGAAATTTCTATTTCTAATAACCATAAAAGCAGATAAACAGAATAATGTATCATTGTGTAGTCTACTTGTGTTGAAAGTTTTATTGAAATCAGACCAAAACTGTAGGAGGAGTAGTATTTTTGAAAGAATTTCACAGAAATTTGTATTTTTAATAACCATTACAACACTGTTCATCAAAATCAAAAATTGATAAAGAGAATTATATACTGTACGTGTACATAAATTGGTGTATTCAAAATTTAGCACAATGATTGGGTATGGAGATATTGATGTTGGCGTAATTATGAATTAGTGCTACATATGTCTGCGCCTTGCATTTTAGTCATTGTACATGTATTTATTAATGATTTCGCAGCGATAGTCATGAATTAACGCATACTTGTCCACGCAAAAGCCTAAAATAAAAATCCCGCTTTTTAAGTACATATACAGTACCTTATTGTAGTCTTCTTGTGTACCAAGTTATACTGACATACATGTGATATGTACCGGCTGTACGCAAAATGTACAGTTTTTCGAGCCCATTCATCGTGTACTGGCGGGACACCAAAATTCACGGAATATGAAAATTTGTACAGTATTTTGAATTTCTTGCTAAATGCCGCCATTTTCCTCTCATTCTCGCTCGCGAGACACTGGAAAACGTCACCTGTGTTTGCCACTTGACCTTCTGATAATTGTGTAGTGTACACAAACCATCGCATGCAAAGGTGTGAACTGCCAATTGGGATAATTATCTTGCTATAAATCCGTATCAAATACCCCTTTAGGTAGCTTTATTTTTTAAGGGGTACTTAATTACTGTTAATGTTTCGTATACGTAACTTGATTGAAAAAAATTAAGCCAACTTCTAAAGTTGATATACATGACTTAATATACGTGAATCCGACTCAGATCTTCGTAGGTATAAAATATGCGATGTTTATTACAATAATTACGATGGAATTTCATCAGAATTTAAGCGATATTTTATACCATTTTTTGTACCGTTTTTTGATAGATAGTGTACAGTTTTTTCACCCAAATTCCAGTTTTTTTATGGCTCCTGTACAGTTTTGTGGTCTTTGACTTATCACATGTATGTACTGAAATTGGACCAAAAAACTGTAGGAGGAGTAGTATTTTAAAAAAAAAAGATGGACAATGGACACTCTACTATCGCATCAGCTCTTCTAGTTTTTTACCAGTAGAGCTAAAAAAAGACTGACAATTAAACATTCAAAATGGCTGCTGCAAGTTGTGTTAATTGGTGAAGGTTTAAATATTATCCAACAGGATTCTCAGTGATAGCTTTGAGCAAATGGCCTCTAAAATAAGGTAGCCACAGAGCAGTTTTAATTGTAGCTTGTGATATTTATTACTGTAGATTCCTAAATATACAAGAGGAATTAATTATTGCGTAATTACACAAGAAGCACCTCTCGCGAAATAAAATTACTCGCTTTTATTTTTATGGTGCTGAAATCAATGTAAAATCCCTTGATCAACCATCCATTCGCCAATTATTGTTCTCGCGATTTGATGTTAAAGAGCCATTTCGTGATAATAAGTATTCGTGAAAAATAAAGAATCTACAGTAATTAAAAGCTGTCTACCACTTCTTGACATTGTCCCTGACCTTTCTGCCTGTTCCCCGGGTTGGATTTTGGCATAGAGGACATCCACGGAGCCAGGGTCATCATTCATGTACTCCAGCCCCTGTAACCTCACCGTGAGGGGCTCACCCTTCAGGATAGGTCTGTAAAGAACAATTACTCTCATTATCTGCCCATATTTTGCCCCTAAAGATGGGTGAGCAAAGAAGAATTATCCAGTTCTGAACTGAAAACGTCTAATAGCTTTTTGAGATCTTGGTGAAAACCAATCAAAAGAGAAATTGATTTAGAATTTTCAAAACTGAATATTATGTGTCTCTTATATGGGTATTGGAAAAACAAGAAATCAAATTAGCCATCATCTATCACATCCTGCAGTTATTTTGCAATCTAAATTCAGAGCAGGGTCAAATTTTCTAAGTTTATAATAGTGGCACATTTAGCTGTACATACTCAACAAGACTTGATTTACATTCTTCAAGTGTCTCCAGGGCTTGCTCTATTTCTTGTTTATTCAGCAGTGCTAGCGTACCCACTGTTAGATGTAGCTTCTCAGGCTTCTGAAATATTGTCTTGTCTATTCCTCTATCCTAATAATGAAATATTAAAATGAAATGCAGAAATTTTAATGACACTACATAGTAGATCCCATAACATAGGCATTGAGGTATTTTCTGCCTTAATTTATTATTGAGAACCAAGGGGACTAACAAAGGTATTCAAATTATATATAACTTCCTTTAAAATTGCAACATGAACTCTTACACTATCACAACTCCTCAAAATATCCTCCTGAAACTCTAAGAAATTCTCTCTGATTGGCTGTAAGTTCACTGGGAAGGACAGAAAGTGAGTGAATGGTTCTTTTCGGCGTACAGAATCAACAATGACGTCCAGTCTTGTCTTGGCTGAAATCACGCCCTTTCTCTCTGGTCCAAGGATTACTGAAGAAAACATAATTACCCACTGTAAGCTTGACATTTCATTTTTTTAGTATATGCAGAACAGAAAAGATTCAGATATTTTATTTAAACAACTAAACAGCAGAAGCCTTAAGGGGGACAATCCTTTGAAATGGGGGGGGGGGGGGCTGGCAAATTTCATCAAGTTAGATTATTCATTTTCATGCCCTTGCATGTTGAAATATCTTATTTATTTCAAAATTGATCAGACAAAAATTATTTATTTTCTTCCCTGAAAAGAATCTGATGAGCAAACAACTCCAATTTCTTTTCTTTTTTTTTTTTGAGGGGGGACAGGGGGCATTAAGTACCATCAATCAAGGTCAGATTAATTACATGTAGAATCACTCTTTTAGAATCCAATGGTCATCCCCTTATCTAAATATTGTGTGTTAACAAGAGGTCCATGGGCCACATTGCTTATCTGAGCACATTGACTAGTAAAAAGCAGAAATCAGTTTAGTATTGAAGTTTACGTGGGGGGGGGGGGGAGAATTCACACTACCTGTGGATGCTTCCATATCAATATAACTAATTAGGGTAATTAGGGCTTTGCTGTTCTTGAAAAGAAGATTTTTAAAGATTTTTCCTATATATTCCAATGTAAAATTTGATTGCCCATCATGGCCCCATCCTAATCCCAGGGGTCATGATTTGAACAGAGTTGAATATACACTATCTGAGAATGTTTCCAAATCAATATGACCAATCATGGCTATGCTGTTCTTAAGATAAGATCTTTAAAGATTTCTTTCTATATATTCCTATGTAAAATTTGATCCCTACTGTGACCCCACCCTACCCCCGAGGGTCATGATTTTGAACAAACTTGAATCTCGCTACCTGAGGATGTTCCATATTAATATGGCTTTGCTGTTCTTGAGAAGAAGATCTTTAAAGATTTTTCCTATATATTCCAATGTAAAATTTGATCCCCCATTGTGGACCCACCCTATCCCCAGGGGTCATGATTTGAACAAACTTGAATCTACACAACCTGAGGATGTTTCCATATTAATTTGACTATTAAGGCTTTTGATGTTCTTCAGAACACAAGATTTTTAAAGATTTTTTTCATTTATTTCTGTGTAAAACTTTGATCCCCACTGTGGCCCCACCCTACCCCTGGGGGTCATGATTTGAACAAACTTGAATCTACACTACCTGAAGATGTTTCTGTATTACCGGTAATATGTCTGGTAATGGCTTTGCTGTTCTTGAGAATATAATTTTAAAAGATTTTTTCATATATATTCCTATGTACAACTTTTATGGTTCTGTATTTGAAAAATAGGAAATAAGAATATGAAATGATTTTTAAAAAAGAGGAAGAAAAGTAATATTTATTCTCAGAGGATTTTTTAAATTCTTTTTTATATGTTAATTTATATACTAGTTATAGATTAGGCCTATTGTGTGTTTATATATCTTTCAAATCAATAAGGTTAAATAAATTAATATTAGAAGGAGTTCATTATTATAAGGGTGAAGTAATGAGATACGCCTATGTAACAAAAGCTCGCGACAAACGGCACATGGCGAAAAAGTGCCCACCTCTTGCACCCCTCCATTTTCAGATCCTAGCTGGAACACTGTAAAATTTCAACTTTTCTGGCCCAATGGTTTTTGAGAAGATTTTTAAAAGATACCACAAAATTGTTACTATTTCTGAATTATCTCCCTTTGTCAGAGGGCATGGCCCTTCATTTGAAAAAAAAAACTTGAATCCCCTTCACCCAAGGATGCTTTGTGGCAACTTTGGTTGAAATTGGCCAGGTGGTCCTGGAGAAGAAGTCAAAAATTTGAAAAGTTTATGGCAGATGGACTACAGACAAAATGTGATCAGTAAAGCTCACTTAGGTAAGCTAAAAACTCTTCAAATTCATATACTGACTAATATCCCCCTCCACTCCCTCCCTGGGGATCCTGATCTGAGTTTTGGTCTCTGTTTCCAGTCGACGTTTGGTTTCACCCTTCCTGCCAATGATGTGTTTAAAAAATGCACTAGGTAGGCTAACAGTGGTCTGAAAGCCTTTATCTGTCTCTTCAATGTCTGGCATCATATCACAGGTCTCATCATTCCAGTTGTTACACTGCACTGTGGACTCCTCTACAATTAGGAATGCATTAAAATATATTTTTTTTAATGTGAAGATACTGCTAATGCTACATGAAATTTAAGTATCAAAAAAAAAGCTTATTCCAGGAACTTATATCACAGCAAAATAAGGGGGTGGAAGTTAAAATGAACAAGAAGTCTGTGAGCGAATGCTCACTAGCACTACTGGACGAAAAAAGTGCTGAGAATCCCAAATTTTACTGATAATGTTTGATAATTACTGATACGGTGCTGTTCTTGCTGATAAATACTGATATTTACTGTTATTATTACTGTCGTTGCTGATAATTTTAGTTGTCTCTGATAAATACTGATAATTACTGTCGTCTTTACTGTGTAGTCTGATAAATACTGATAAATACTGTTGATGTGCTGTCAATGCTGAGATTTACTGATAATTACTGTGGTCATTGTTTTTTAATCTGGGAAGGGACTAAAATAGCCTAAGAAATAATTATTTGTTTTAAAGAAAGTATTTTATCAACAAATTCATTACAGTATTCTAACAAAAAAAAATTATTCTAGGAAAAAAAAGTCACATTTTATTTGTTGTTTTCATATTTCATGTATTAATTTTATTATAATCATTTTTACATCATAATGTTAAAATTAGATCATAAATGTTTGTGTTTTTCTTTACCTTTCTATTTTTCCTTTCACAAAGTTTTCAATATCTGCGGAAAATAATAATTGTGTTGTTATCGCAGTGGTTTTTCTCCCCAAGTACTTTTTAAAACAAGTTTTTATTTTTAAAGGTTAAAAAAAAAATTCCATCTCATATTTTTTCCACGTGTATTTGTATTGTCATCAAAAGCTTTTAGAGGGCATCTTTAATATAGTCAATGGTTGTTATTGTCAATTTATTTTTTCATGTGGAGAACTGAACATGTATGAGCTATGTAAGTTGAGACCCCCCCCCCCCCCCCCCTCTATTTACATACAACTATCATTTTAAGAAGACACTTTAGCCAGTATTAAATATATCTCGCAAAAAAATATATTATTTTATGTTGTGTACACTGTGTCCTTTTATTGAAGAATGTGACAGGTTTAAATAATAAAAATAAAACATCTTTAATTTGTAGAATAATCTCTTTTATATACATATAGCCAGTGCGCTCTAGTTCTCTGATTATGTCCTCGATGCGAAATTGATATCATTGTGTGGTATCGACGCTTTCTATCTTTCGTTTTTTTTATTTTAATTGTTGAGCCATCAGTACACTATAAATTTTATGCAGTGTGATTTTCAATCAATGAAATACACGTCTTTCTTTAATTCTTTGTAGTACACAAATCTGCGTTAGGTCTATGTATATACGCCAGTATCCGGGAGATCAATAAATAACTTCTTATGCATGTTATACGCGGTCAGTCAGTTAAAAAAAACAAAACAAAATAAAATAAAACAAAACAAAACTTGAAGTTACTTTCGTCCATTAATGCCGTCTAGCTAAATTACTGTTCTGGAACACACATGTCAACCACGTGTAAAAGTTCTACTTTCGTTTTGAGAATCATGAATTTTGTAAAATTAGAAATAGTTTTGTACTGAGATTATAATGTTTTTTATTCCATTTTCTCCTTGTCGGAGACCTTTGTATAGACGAACAGTACAGACTGGGCGCTTACCGACTTGATTATGCTTTATTGTAGCACAAAAAGGGGGGTGGCGGGGATTTACAGTCACTTCGTACACAAACCGAGTCGTACACAAACCAACTCGTATACAAAAAGTCAACTCGTACACAAAAAAAGTCAACTCGTATACAAACCAGAGGTCAACTCGTACACAACTCATACATACGTTTTCCTATGTGATTTAAGGTAATATTTGCCATAGTTTCCAAAAAAAAAATTGAGAAGTCAACTCGTACACAAATGTGTTTTCTGTACATTTTTAGCTTAACTTAACTTTTATCTTAATATCTTAATTGGCTATACACATCAAAGACACATTGCTTAACTATAACATATTCTCTAATTGTATCAACATTTTGGCACATGAGTTAACTAAATCAAGATTGTCAAATTCATTCTTAATTCTTACATTAATTCTTAAATAAACGGAATTATCTTAAATAATTCTTATATTGTAAATTTAAATATTTTATTTGTTAAATATGTAGTTGAAAAACTTAATTCAAATGGATTTCTAATTGTCAACAGAATTGATATACGTAGTTTTTATATTTCTAAAAAGTTTTCTGTTATGCAAGTAATGCATGTTGATGAAGAATATAATATTTTATAGCATCCTAATTTATTATGTTTCTAATTGTCAACAGAATTGATATACGTAGTTTTTATATTTCTAAAAAGTTTTCTGTTATTCAAGTAATGCATGTTGATGTAGAATATAATATTTTATAGCATCCTAATTAGCGTTTGTCGCAGATCCAAGAAACCACCGCGCGGGTGTTGGTTTAACACTGTTTAACAATACTTCTTTGATGTTCCTATCCTATCAGGGAAGTTGAATTATTTAAATATTTAGGGAAAAAAACTTAAAAAACTTAAAGAAAAGTAACACTTCGTGTTATCAAACATTATTTGTATAAAATTAAATCATAACGATTGTATATAAATGTTGTGTACGAGTTGACTTCTGGTTTTTGTGTACGAGTTGACTTTTTGTATACGAGTTGGTTTGTGTACGACTCGGTTTGTGTACGAAGTGACTTGACACCGTGGCGGGGGGTGAAAAACTGATACGCGCAAGGTTGATTCTTTAGTTTTATTTATAATAAGTAATATACATGTTATAATTACTTATTACATATTTTTTTTATACATGAATAAAATTATTTTAGAGAATCAATGAACGATACCATATTCAGAACTATAAGATTTATTCATGAGTGCGATAAACAACGTCATGTTACTGTCATTCAAAATTCATAACAGATTTTTTTCACGGATTCTGAGCGATGTGGAGTTTAATTCCCTGTTTCTGAATTGTGAACAGTTAATGCTAATATAATTTCAATAATTGCTTTCACTAAACCATCTTTTTTTTTAAATTTATATGTACATTTTGCATAATGCTTTAATTATAAGATGAAGTCAAATGTTCCGTATCAATTTCTCGTCTCCGTTTCACGGGCCCCAAACCATCGTTAACCGAGATTCAGAATTGAAAATACATGTAGCCCCCTCCCCGGGATTTTCTTTTAAATTTATCTCAAGCATGTCAAGAAATGTGCATAAAACTAACAAATAAAATTAAATACTGAGCAAAGATAGATTTATGTGAATTAAAATAATTATTGAATATTAAGTCTGTACAATGTATATGTATATAACTTCATTTCTTTCTTTTTTTTTTATCTTAGTACTGCAATGACCTATTTTGCTAAATAGTTTTTTTCTTTTCAATTTTCAATTTTATTCGTCAACAAATTGAATATTACAGGATCTTTTTTTTTCCGTGCGACCGTAAAGATTTTCCTGCTCAAAGAAGAAAGTACATGTACAGTGTAGGTAGTTTGTTTATTATGTACACCGGTCGCAGACAAGGAACAATAGGTAATTAGTGCCCATTGTTACGCTGACCACTACAATTTACATGGAATATACAAGTTGTACCCCGTTCTACCCCGGGGCGGAAGACTTGTACACAATACAGCCAAATCAGAGACTGATCTTCGATTTTTGATCAATGAAGATCAATTTATTCCATGCAATTTTTGAGCACACAAAATTAAAATCTATCAATTTGATCATATGCATGTACTTTACTAAGTAAACATTTTATATTACGTCTCATTTCTTATTTCACATTCCATAAAATTAAATTAATGAGATTTTAAAACTTATTGAATAAAAATGTTTCATGTCATGAAATTTTAAGAGACCAACATCAAAATAACATAAACACATGTGTACCTTCGCTCTGACACTGGGGATTCTGACCATGCACTAATTTTTAATCAGCCCCCAATCTGCCGGTTGCACATGTATGTATCGTGTACATGTAGATGTAGAAGAGATATTCTTGAAGAATCTAAAATGCCTATATTACATTCAAATAAATAAATAAATAAATAAATAAATAAATAAATAAATAAATAAATAAATAAATAAATAAATAATCTGTGCCTCCAGATTGAACATATTCACCTCTGTTTTCATCTCTTTATTAAATTTAAAAATGCATAAAATTTCTAATTTTCGAGCAAGTTTTCAAATATCTTGAGAGACCAGAAAACCGAACATTTAAAAATGAAAAAAAATAAATGTCTTTGAGAAAGAAAAACAAAAATAGCTATATGAAAGGTCATCTTTAAAAAGAAAATGTCCTCCTCTCTTGACCAGTTGACGGAGTGAAACCGTGCGAATCAAACTTTTCTAACCTGCCGGAAATATTTTTTATCCTGATTTTTTTTCCACCCATTAAGAACTATTTCTTATTATTGAAAAAAAAAAACCATCACCGACCTCCCTTCCCAAATATCTTGGAGTCGGGAGAGGGCGGCGACGAATCTTTTTAAAAGATAGCCTTATTTTCTTTTTATTTACAGTACATTAATAAAATTCCATTTATCTTGCTCACAGATAAATTATATTATTTTCATAGATTGGTAGAAAACATTTGCTTAATATACGCGGAAGGTTTCATTTATTTATTGTCAACATTTTCACAACCGTATTGTAGTAAATGAGATCAGTGTAATTTTTGTCACTAGCAGAACATTTAAAGAAATATGAAAATGTCGTAATGATAATTTATAATTAAAAGAAAGAAATAATTGAAGGTTTTTACAGCCCTCAGTTCTTCTTTAGCCCTTCCCAGCTTAAGAACAAAGACCACAGTAATTATCAGTAAATCTCAGCATCGACAGCACATCAACAGTATTTATCAGTATTTATCAGACTCCACAGTAAAGACGACAGTAATTATCAGTATTTATCAGAAACAACTAAAATTATCAGCAACGACAGTAATAATAACAGTAAATATCAGTATTTATCAGCAAGAACAGCACCGTATCAGTAATTATCAAACATTATCAGTAAAATTTGGGATTCTCAGCACATTTTTCGTCCAGTAGTGTAGTAATACCCCCGCTCTGATGTGAATATACAATCTCATGTTGACATCAAATTCATACAAAAATAAATTCCACCATTTGGCATGCCTGAACAAAGATTGTGCTAAAATTTCAAGCATCTGCACTGAGCAGTTGCCGAGAAAACTGTGATGGAAATTTGGTATGGACAGACGCACGGATAAACAGGAAGTTGACATCGGATTAAAAAAAATGAATCCCACCAAATGGCATGCCTAAAGAAAGATTGTGCTAACATTTCAAGCATCTGCGCTGAGTATTTGCTGAGAAAACTGTGACAGAAATTTGGTACAGACAGGCATATGGATAAACAGGAAGTTGACATCGGATTTGCACAAAAATGTATCCCACCATATGGCATGCCTAAACAAAGAGTGTGCTAAAATTTCAATCATCTGTGATGACTAGTTGCTGAGAAAACTCTGACGAAAATTTGGTACAGACAGACACATAAACAGGAGGTTGACATCGGATTTGAACAAAAATGAATCCCACCATATGGCATGCCTAAAAAAAGAGTGTGCTAAAATTTCAATCATCTGTGATGAGTAGTTGCTGAGAAAACTGCAACGAAAATTTGTTACGGACAGACACATGGACACACGGACACACAGACAGACACACAAGGGTAAAACAGTATACCCTCCTCTCCTTCGGAGCAGGGGTATAAAAATGCACACAAAGAAAAGACATATGTTTTGAATGTGCCCAGTAGTTATGCATCAGATTTTTTACTTTCCAGAGAGGGTCATGACACTCTTTCTACATGTTAGAGGTTGGCAAGTATTAAGTCTTCCAGGGATGGGGTAATTGTAATTAGTATTTGTAATTGAGCGTAATTAATTACATTTTTTAGAGTAATTGGAAGTAATTTGTATTTGAGCCAGTCTTCAATTACAAGTAATTGAATGTATTTAAATACATTTCCAAAAATGTCATGTATTTTCAATTACTTTTCAATTACATTTCAATTACTTTTTTTTAAGTTATAAGTTTAAAAAGGTGTCAAGATACACAGTTCAGTATACCTGTGTGGCATGGGCTTGTGTTTGTGCAAAATGTCTCAGAATGTTTAATTTGTTTATACAGCATGTCACTCTGCCCAGGGCAATAGGTAGAGGTCTAATTTTGTCCAGGTGTGATCCCCTCTAATACCCAAAACCAAAAACTTCACTATAGTCAAAACCCTATTCAGAACCAAACATGAATTCAATAGTATTGGATGAATTTAATGTCCCAGAAAAGTTTCTAGAAATTTTAAAGTCAAAATAATTCCACGTTTCCTTGTCTTTCTCGGTTAGCCCAAAGGTATTTAGCTGTACCAGCAACTTCAGCACCCGTTGAAAGACTTTTCAGCATGGCTGGAAAACAGTTCAGACCAGAAAGATGTCTTTTGAGTGATGCTGTGTTTGAAAATCTGATGATGGTTAAAATGAACTCAAAACAGTAAAAACATTTCAGTACATTATGCTTTGTGTATCTCAATGCTGTTTATATATGCAATCTCAAGATTTTTTAAAAATAAAACTTAAGTAATTGAAATGTATTTAATTACAATTGTCAAAGTAATTGAGAGTAATTAATTACATTTGAAAAAATCAATGTAATTGTAATTGCAAGTAATTGACAAAATTATCAATGTATTTGAAAGTAATTAATTACATTTCTAAGTAATTGACCCCAACCCTGAAGTCTTCGCCCTTTAAAGACACACAATCCAGATTCTCTTTAGCCCCTGACAGGACTTACACCAATGTTAATGCATTGGCTCAAGCCACGGTCTGGGACCCGTTTTACAAAAGAACAAAAACTTTCGTTGACTGTAAAATTGTATAATATTCAATTCAATTCAATTTGTATTATATTCATTTATAATATTAATGATTTTATTTAAAATTGCAAGCGATCAAATGCCTTTATACATTTCTTTTAAAAGATTAAAACCATTTTTAATTTATTGTAAATTAGAAAGTTATAAGCAAATTTTAATTTTGGTCCTAGTCGTAAGTTCTTTTGTAAAATGGGCCCCTGGAGTCCACATATACATGTAGCTCTCTCCTACCAGTGGCTGCTTGATCACATAAACTATTGTAATCTTGAATAACCATGACTCCCAGTGTGTGACATGGGAAGCATTTGGGGGAAAAAAATGTTTAGAAACAGACTGACGGACAAGGAAAATGCACTGGCTTTTTCGATTTTCGACCAGTAAAGCAAAATAATGTAACGTGAAGTGGTCACCCATCCAAGGGTTATACAGGCCCACTGTTGCTGAACTTGCCTGAAATAGAGGGAGACTCCACCGCATCACTAGAAAAGCTAGCTAACTAGCGAGGCAGTATAAGTTCCCTATATACTGTCTGCTACACTGATTCGGTATTTTTGACTTCACAATATTTCATTTAGTGTGAAGAATACAGACAGTGAGACTGTACAATGTCTCATATACTGTAGGTATAATCAGGGATGGGTTAATGGTAATGTGTAATGGTAACTGACAGTAATTAATTTCAAATTTAGATGTAATTGAAAGTAATGTGTAATTGACCAAATTTTCAATTACAAGTAACTGTAATTTAATTAATTAATTACTTTGGAGAAAATGCATGTAATTCACAATTACTTTTCAATTACTTTCAATTACACTGAATGATGTACAATGAATGAAAAATCAATACCAGGTCCCCCCTTCCAACCCACTATACACTATTCAAGAAAGCTTAGCTGATCTTTTGGGAAAAATATTTAGATGGTTAATATCTTACAGGAATATTCATATTTCCTCCTTGTAATGAATTGCTGTTTTATCTCATGCATTTTTTTTACTTTCAAAATACTAGCTCTCTCTGTGTTTATTATACAAATAGACTTAATAGTTTTGACTAAGTTGTTTACAAATTAATTATAACAGTTGAAATACTTAGTCCAATGGGTTTTAATCCTTTGTTTGATATATCTGTTAACAGCTTGTGTAAGAGTGATTATCAGGTGCTAATTAGTGCCCTAAGGTCATGTATGTATATACTTACAGAGAATTTTAATAGATATATATTTTACACTCTTTGAATTTGCATTCATGGTATTTGTATTTCAATATTTTGAGATAACTTATAATGCTTAAAAGGAAACATCAAGGCAAAATGCATCACTGTTTTACATAAATACATACCAGAAAGCTTAAAAATAACATTAAATTTTGTAACAGATTTGAATTAAGCTAAAATTAGAAACATGGGTAAACACGGTAATTGCTATCAATATACAATCTATTCCTGTCACATACGCCCCAGTGGAAAGTGTCTTCACTGTGATGGAAAAACCTTTCAAATCTCATAGTTGTAGGTTAACTGGGGATACTGTATTTGAGAAGTTAGCTGGAGACACTTTATTTGAGAAAATTTCATGAACATCTAAAGAATTTAAATGTAAAAAAAAAATGTTGTATCTGAATCTGATATGAATATAAAAGAACGTTAATGACCTTTTATTTATAAGTTCATAAAATGTAATTTGTAATTTAATTAATTACATTTGCAAAGTAATCTTAATTTAATTAATTATATTTTAAAATCCTTGTAATGGTAATGGTAATTTAATTGAAGGATTTGGGCAAGTAATTGTAATTTAATTAATTACTTTCTATGTAATTGACCCCATCCCTGGTCCGTATAATGGTTACCGTATTGTTCCTCTTCAAGTGCATTAATATCTCTGTTCAGTGATGGGTTGACTCTGTAACAGCGGTCTCCTATTGTGATAATTTGTGGTCTTAAAACATCCATATTGTCTTCGGAGTACACCAGTGTATTGTGAACTGTAATAGGATGTCTCCATAGCACAATAAATAGTGAGTCTTTTATCTATTATATATAGCCTACAGAATTCCGGATAGTATGAGGTTAAGCTATTTTTTAACAGAAAGCAAGTTTAAACCGTCTTAAAAGTTTTTGATAATTTTGTAAGTTGTTTCATCTCTTCTCGTTACACTATCTTTTTTGTCATTACACATTTCATAGTTAAAAATTTTCATCACAGAAAATCTCTATGTAAATTAAGAATTTCTTGTCACAGATTGCAAATTGAAGTGGGAAGATTTAAGAACATCCCTCGAGAAGATCGATTATGCAATAGATGTAACTCTAACAGTGTAGATGATGAAACTCATTATCTGATAACATGTAAAAAATATGGTCATCAAAGAAAAGAAATTTTTCAGTCAATTTAAAGTAAATTTCCAAATTTCTCTGCATTAGATGATGAACAAAAACTCTTTTGGTTACTCAATACTGAAGACAAAGAAACTCTTAATTCTGTGGGCAAATTCATAAATGATAACATGTTGTAGTAGCCATACACTTTTATATAAAGTATTCCCTTTAACTGAAATAGTACAATATTATTGTTGAAATGAGCAATGTCATTTACAAATTGTTATACTATCCATTGGCATATCTTTTCTTTATTATTGTAATAATTTCATACTTGTCTGTTATGGGCTCTAAATTAGAAAATAAATGTTCTGTTCTGTTCTGTTCATTACTGATAGATATGTATCGATATATATCCTTATATGGGCTTTTGATTCGATACGCAAAAGAATGCTTATTGACTAAAGAGTTGATGAAACAAGGATAACAACAGTCTCGTTTAAACAGTTACAGTCATCATTTCGCGAGTGCTATGATATAGGTCCCTGGCTATGGTCGATACAATGGCCTTGCAAGGCCGTAACTACCACTGAGGCAAGTGAGGCAAATGCCTCACTAAAATTTTAGAGTTTTCTGAAAATTGAAAACGGCTTTACTTTGATCTGAAATTATTTGCGTCTTTGTACTAAATTCATTATAATACTTTCAACTTTACTTTCAATTTCTGAAAATCGATCATCTCAACAGGTGCTTCATTATAGTTTAGAAAGCATGTAAAAATTATTCAAAACATGTGAAAAAATCTTTCATGTACTAAAACACAGGTTTTGAGACCCCCACCCCCCGTGACCCCTCATCAGGGCACTACCCTCGACCCGCTTGGGACTCAGGTGGCCCCCAGAATCCTTGCCTCACTAAAAATTTGATCCTAGTTACGGCCTTGCCTTGTCGGCGGAAACAATCTGTCATTTAGTCGAATGCTGACTGCCGTTTTGTTAGGCCATTATTTAAACACTGATTTTCCGTTTGCCAAATCATGACAATTAGCACACAGCGGGCTTTTGACCGGTCGACAGGAGATGCTTACTCCTCCATGGCACACGATCCCACCTCTGATGTCTTTTTTTTTTTGGAGGTCTGTGTTTGCTCTGCTCCCGATTTGTATTTTTTCAGTGGACTTTTGAGCTTGATTACTGTTCGTTATCTTAATTCATTATTTCATGCACTTCAATAATTCTACAAGTCAATACGGTATTCCACTAACGAGCACCTGATGTATGCACCCCTCCTGTTTTATGCGAAAAAATGCGTAAACATTTAGTCATTGTCTACTCCCTGAGCATCCTCAATATAATAAATAATTTGCTCTTTTTTCAATTTCAATTGGTTTTCATGTTCTTGATTAAAATGTAAACAGGCGGCAGATCCAGGATTTTTTTTTTTGGGGGGGGGGGTGTCCACGTCACTTTAACAGATGTCACACTCGGAAAGCAAAAAATTGATAATGGATAAAAAAGGTAATGAACTTTCCCAAACATTAAAAACTTAGAAGAGGAGGGGAGTAGGAGAAGGCACTTTCCTGAGCTAATTTTCTTCAGATACATGATTTTAAAGGAGTCTGTGTTTCCTAAGGGTGAGTCAAAGGTCATTTTATTCGTTAGCTTAATAGCTTTTCATAGACATTTTTAAAATCCGGGGGAGGGGGAGGGGGTTCCTGATCCCTGTCTAGATCTGCGCATGCTAAACCTATAATACATACAAAAAGCATATTAAGATTAAACTGTGGGAGAGGTTGTTAAAACAACAAGCTTTTTTTTCTTCACCCAATTACGCTTTTCCCCCTGTTTGTTGATGCTGATAATGCTCAATTTTGATCTCTCGTTTTTATTCTGTACATACCATATTATTCACTTTTGCGAGATTTGCATTGTACTGCAATTCTTCTCTTCAGTTAATATCTGCCTTGGAGTGAAAAAAAGAACATAAGCGCAAACCAAGTTCAGCTGACCTCGATCAAAACTACAGGTTGCACAAAGTGGAAACTCATGGAAATTCCAGGGGCGTAGCTTCCATTGTGGCAATGAGGCAACTGCCTCACTAGATTTTTCACCACCACCACCCCTTTCCATAATCAACAATACACTGCAGATAATACGTACAACTAATGGCATTTCTTTTTAACATTTTAAGCAGTTCTATAATGTTGAATTGAAGTTTTAAAGAAATAATAGCAGAGTTTAATAAGATGCGCTTTCACCTTTAAATGTTTCAAACAGTTTAGTAAACATATAAACTCTTTTACATTCTTTTACAATATGTAGTATCATGCTGAATTCTTAAATAAAGAAACCAGTATAGCAAATGAAATTTCATTGCATTTTAAAACCCCCAACTCCATTTTCTGTCGGAGTGACCCCTCGAATGACACTACCCGGAACCTGCTGGAGGATTAAGGCAGCTCCAGACTTCTTGCTGCTACTGTACATGTATGGTTTTGCCTCACTAGAATTTAAAGTCAAGCTACGCCCCTGAATTCATCACTTGTGATTTTTACAGTTCACCATCATGGGGACAAGGTGGTTTGTACTAATATTTTTCTGAAAACAGCTTAGTGCTTAGTTACATCCAGAAATACGCTGTAAACTAGGAAAAGAAAAGAAGCGAAAAGATACCCCCCCCCCCAAAAAAAAAACAAAGGAAAAGAAACAAGAGACCCCTTCAACCCCCCCCCCCCCCCACAAAAACCCAGATGTATACCAATTATTCGCTACTACTGAAAATAATATCGATTTCAGAGGTTGTTTGAAACAATTTAGAATGGTATTTTGTAAAATAAATAAAAGGCTGGGAGGAAGGGTTTTTGCAGAAAAACTTGGGGCTTCCTACTCATGTTTCCAAAGTAGGTTCACATTGTTTGACACATATATTCAAGACATTCAAATATATTTAAAATTTTGACTGACATGTAATGTAAGTGTGAAGAAATATGAAAGCTCTGTATCTTCTCATGCAAAAAGTTACCACCAAGGATAACATTTTTGAAAAGTAGGTCAAACTTAAAGGTCAAGAGGTCAAAAAATCATAGTACATTCAGAAAAATTTTGTCACAGGTAATGCAAACTATAAAACGTGAAAGTCTCTTGCCTCCTTCCTGGAAGCATGTAAGATTTGTAACATGTGTAAAATGTACATCAGTAAGCCTGGAAAATCTAATTGGAAAGGCAAAAAAATAAAGTTGATGAAGCAGTGATTTCATCTAGTTCATGAAGGCTCGACTGTGAAACCAGAACGCCAAGTCTAGGCCCGTCTCCCTCCAAGCAGTCTGATCGCATAGTCCGACAACATCCTTTGCAAACTTCTAATGTGAATATTTTTGTACCATATGTCATGACGTAGTTTTTGTTTGTTTTTTTTTTCTTTTACTTTTTTGATATTGAAAAGGACTGGTTAAATGATCAATAATGTCTGCCATCTCAAGTCAGTAGAAAATACTTAACCGTATTTCAAAAAATAACCATCAACATTTTAACTTTTCTTGAATATAACCATCTCATTGTATATTTATGTCTCTGATGGTCATAGAATTTAATCTATTCCATGTTTCAAATGTCAATAAAACAAAAACAAACCAAAACAATTTGACTTTTTATTGTAATCAGACATATTTCATACATGTAACAGAGAAAATATAAAGACTGGCACATATATTGTGTAATTATCTCAAAAATTGGAAATCACCAGGGATTTCGGTATGCTTTATTGGACTTCCAGTAATAGATGCATAATCAAAGAATCAGCTTCATATTGTTACACTTCAGTAGGACTGAATAAAATAATAAACTAAAAGAAATGGACTTGGCACATAGTGTCTGATTAATGAAGCATATAAACATGAAATACAAAAAAATTGAAATTTATCATGCACTTGATGCACATGCTGTACATGGAAAATGTAGATAAAAGCACCAATTTAAAACTTTTACCCTATATCAAACTTTGGAAACGATAAAACTCATTTGAAATAAAATGCCTTGTTATCATCAGACAATACAAGGGTTTATTTATCATGTTAAAAAATTTAAAAAAATAAAAATATATATGGGTAATATTCAGCACATCTGTAATAAATGTAACATATCTATCAGAATTTAAAAATATACACACATACTCAATTCTTTAAATTATGCATTTTATATTTTATCACATTTCAAAACATTTTAAACCGGTATACAAAATAAAGATGCACTTTTCTTCACTTTCATATTTTAAAAAAGTCATACAGAAATATACATTCCAAAAATACTCCTACAGTTGTGGGACCAACTTTTTTTCCGTTCACTCAAAATAATCGTCCAGAGCCATTCGTGTGTCATAGAAAGCTATATTTCCCCCAGTCTGAGTGTTATACATAGAAGCACCTGTTGGGTCACTGTAGGCTGGTCGCCATTCTTTCTTTTCATAAGCTCCATTACTAAATACACTAGGTTCTGGATCATACTGCTTCATGAATCTCTCTTTCTTTTTCTGTGCTCTGTATCTGTTCAATATGAATAAAAGTAACAATTAATCTTTTGTTCAACATGGATTAAATAACAATAATCAAACATGGCTTAATTACAAATTGTCTCATTTTGAATGAAAATTAAAATGCTACATTATTTGTTTTTTAAGTTTCAGTAAATATAAAAAGATTTTACCGTTGTAAACTATAACAAAATACACACCAATCTGCATGGTTAGATGCATACAGTATTTAAAAGTAATCTCCAGTTACACAGCATTTTATTGCAAAAAATCTTTAATCATCTGCACCTTTTACAATCATTATACAAGTTTAAAGAATTTTAGAGGCAAAATTTTCTAACTTTTATAGTGTCTGAAAATATACTTAAATTAATTTTTTTTTAATTTTATATTGATTCTTTGTTTTAAAAAAACACACTAGACACCTCACCTAACAATAAATACCACAGCCAGCACAATACTGATGATCAGGAAGATGGCCGCAGCCAGTGAGGCTACAATGACCACTGTCTGAGAATTCATGTTGACTGCTGTCTTGTTGGGAGGCACCGGCTCAGTGGTACTGCTTATTGTGGGACAGCCTGCAGCTGTGTATAAAATGCACAAGAACAAATCAAACTAACAGTATCAAACTAACAGATATTTTATCATTCTATAAACATAACTGGATTGGGCAGCAGGCACTGCCTTTACAAGTTCTCTCTGTCACAGGTGAACTTTGAATTGAAGTGAAAGTACCAGTGCTGTGTTCATGACCATAGCAGCTAGTCTAGGTATCTACATATGATGCTATTTAATCTGATTTAACCCTTGTTATCCCAATGAAACAGCTATGCTAACATATACATGTAGTTCAATATCCTAGATCTAAGTAGAGCTACATACCCACTACAATGTTAAATGCAGCCCTGTATGATTTTTAAATCTTCTGGTGGTTAACTTTCCCTTTAATTCTAAATATATGTACCTCCCTTTTATCCCTTATGTTTACCTTACAGTCAATTTTGCATTTTATATTATCATGTCCTTACCAGTTGAAGCAGTCCAAGAGAACTGAGATGTGCTGGGAGTACACAGCTGACAGGAGTTGATTGGATTACTGGTTCCTCCTGCATAGCACACGCCACCAATCAGACATGACGAGGTCTGAAATGGAAAGAAGTTTGTTCGAATCAAGATCTCATCCCAAAACATTCATATCCATAAAAATCTTCATTTGATGAATCAACACCATAAATAGTCCATGAATTTCTGAGAAAAATCAGCAATCTATATCAGATTTAGACACAATTAATATACATTATACATCTATACATGTATCATATACAATATACATATCTGCACAGCAAGATGCAATACATGTCAAGGAAGATGTAATTTTCTCCACATTAGGGATGGTAGCTTTACACAAGAACTTGAATGGATGGAAAGAAAAAAATGTCAGATTTATACACTTACCAACATGGAGCAGTTTCCATGGGTTCTATCAGCAGCAACATCACAGGTGTAACAGTCTGACTGATAGAGGATAAATACAGACTCAGCCACACTGGTGTGTGTTCCATCATTACTGATCTTGATGGCATAGCTCTTCTTGGATGGGAGGGTGCAGTGAACTGCTGAGATACTCTTAAAGATGGCAGTATTTACTATGGTGTTTGGTGATCGTCTAGAAATACCTTCTCCATTAATCTACAAAAAACAAGAGCAGTATGTATGCCATTATTTTTATTTTTGATTGATTTGATCTACAAGAGATTAGAAGAATCATAAGGATCATCACTGTGAAATTGAACTTTTGGGATTTGTTGAGTAATTCATGTGCATGCCTAATTTTCATACTGATGAACTAGACTAGTTACCAAAATGCCATAAACATGAACATAAATATGCATAAAAATCCAAGATATATCTGAATCTCAAATATAGCTAACACTCCCTTCAAAATTTACTTATTCTATTCATTTGAATAAAAGGATACAACTTTTTTTGTAAAATAAGAAATTAATACATATAGGTCAAACATATGATTCCAAGCCAAAACCACTGACCTCAATTTCTGTCATGTGACAAGTGATAGTTGAACTGTTAAGGAAGCGATCACCCTTGATGACAGCTTGTGTACAGTTGTTATTGAGGGTATCACAGGCTACATTGGAGTCCTCTAATAGAACAACTGGAGCTAAACTGACAGATATAGAGCAGTCTGCTCCTCCATAGCCAGTATTACACTCACAGACTCCTGGTAAAATTGGGGAGAAAACAAGATGAATTTATGCAAAATTATAAGTAATAAATACATATACACTCAGAATGGAAACCATGAACCATGCACTCTTAAAGACAAATGAATCAGAGCATTTCTTTGTCTAATTTAAATGACCAATTTTTTTTTCCTATTCTAATACTGTACAAGTGGAAATTTTAGCGAGACAAAAATTTCACAATTTATCCTTAAAAACTGGTATGTTAGTTTTGTAAAAAATTGCCAATTGAAATTTTCCTCATGCAATTAAAGCTCATTCATCAAGTTGACAAACATGGAGTTTATTTTAATTGTACATAGAAAATTTAGCTACATTCTAGATTTTTCTAGCTGCTTCTCTTAAATTATAATTGTATAAAATCTCACCCTCCACACAGTTTCCTTGACTATTGCAGTCCAAAGGACAAAGAGAATTGGTAATAGTTGTGGGTAAAGAGGGGGCAGCATTCGGGTCATCCTGTGTCCATTTAGCTGTGTCCTTTAGAACCTCCTCATAACAATTCTGCTGAATTCCTCCCAAGTGATCCTCCCTCCAGATGGTCAGACCGGTCAACTACGAAGATAAATAACATGATTCAATGATATCCCAAAATTATGTGGTGAGACAGAGGAAATTTGAGCTGGATTTACTTTATTGTTGAAGATAACACTATTCTACTTAAGCTGATTTACAGCAAATAAAAACAAAAGTGCATAGCATGACATTTAATTGTATAGGAATAAAAATGCATGACCATGCATACGTAAATATTACTAACTGAACACAACAAGGATTTAATCGATAGTCTGTCCAGTCTACAACTCTATAACCCAAATAAATTTGTAAATTTTCAACACCTTAGTAGCCTATCAGTAAGCTAATACTTTACCTTGTAGTCTTGCACACAGTTATCTATGTCCTGGGAATAGTTTCCAGACAACAGATTCTGACAGCTGACGCCGGCCTTGGAATTGACGAGGTAGTTTCCACAACTCTGTCTGGCTTCTTCTTCTGTCATGTTTAGATTGGATGGCCAAGCAGAGTTTGGCTACAATACAAACAATGTCAAAGTTCTGAGCTAAGATAAATATTTCATCTATTAAAGAAGTCCGAAAGACATCTATCTAAAAAGAGGACAGGTGAAAAAATGCAAAAATATTCAATTAAATCAAGACATAATATACAGTAAGAGAAATTTTATAAAAAGTTTACTAACAGCTGGAGCATTGTAGTTTAGATCATAGGTCACAGTGTCATCTACAGCCTGTCTCTTCTTACGCCTGCCAACAGCAGAGGGGGTTAATAGGCCAGGTTGTGGGGTCAGGAGGTCAGGTTTTAAATCCACACCTATTCATAAATTACACATAATTTGACTTACACATACACAATTGAAAAAGAATTTGAGAAAAAGATCACCATCAAACCTAGAGCTTAAGGTCTGAAAACAAAATTTCAGAAAATTTATTTATATATTGCTTTGAATTTCTGTAATCTCTAAATAATCGTCAGTGCAGCAGAACATAAACACAGCAAATTTTTAAGGACAAAAAAATGCATTTAAACTACTTGATGCCTCTGTGTATATTTTGACAATATTTCTTTTATAAACATTAATTAACTTCATTTTATTTGAATGGTTGTTTCTGTTTTACATAATTGCCATTATAACCTTACCTTTGTTTGTGACTCCACATGTGCTGACATCACCAAAGAAATCACATGATTTTGTTCCATCACTGTAGCAAGAGCAGTAAACTGGTATCTCCATGGAGACTGTTGACCTATAACCTCTAAACAGTGTGTTCGACTCGGAGGTTCTCCATTTCAGACTGTATGCATCTGGTCGTTCATCTGTGCCAGGGACTTTTGTAATGACCCCATTGGGATCTGAGAGGTCGTTGTCTTGGTTACCGTCATATGTACCACATAAACCTGAAATGCAAATTGACCAGTTTGTACCAAAATCTTTAAATACAGGTAAATAAGCAGGTTCTTTAGTTTGAATGTTTTGTACATGTATTTCATCCTTGAAATGGTATAAAAATACTCAAGTTTTACAGATACAGATTTATTATTGCCTTGTACAAAGAATTTTTGTAAAACTGCCTTTAACTTCAAATGTTCAAAACACAAATGTTTCATATCCATCAAAGTTTATTTTAAATAACCTTACACAGATAGAGTGATAAATTCAAATCAAAATTAACCTTCAGTTTTGTTAAAGTCTGCAGCTGATGGGTAAATAAAGATGTTAATAAAGGCCTGATATGAGTCCTTGACTGTCACTTTAGTTCCTGTGGGTAACATGATCTGTCCAAAGAAAACAAATTTAGTTACATATCAATCCATCAAATTGACTTATCAAACAATACGTACAACAGAAAAGATTCTGACCTGGAACTGTTTGCCATCCTTCTCCTGGAAGATCTGTGTCCTGGGTGTCAGTTCTCCATTTGTGAAGAGCTCATCATTGATTGGATAAGCAGTAGATGTTTTGTTGACCCACTTACACTTGTCTATCCTGATGACATCATCACCAGAACGTGCCATCACTCCACAGTTACACGTTCCACTGGAACAGCGCACCATTGCAGCACGTACCTAATTGAAAGTGCACAATTCACTGAACAAGGCTTATAATAACAAAATAAAATACAAATGCTCTTATTCCATACACAAACCACCATTGATACATATGTAGATTTTTCTTTTACTTTTTTTATTAACAATGCACTGGGGTCTGTACAACAAGAGTTCAGAAGTGGCATGATTTGAAAAGTCATGATGTTTAATAGAGGAAATTATAACCTCAAAAAATCCTGGTTAGACTCTGTTCTTACCTCTACTTCAGTGTCTTTGTTTCTATAAAGTATGTACTCTCCTGGCTGGAAGTTGTCAAAGTAGCTGCAAAAATTTAAAAAAAAAACACTTAATTTTATATTACTTTAGGTCTCTCTATATTGTTACTTCATATGAAATTGAATTTCGAAGCATTGTACCAAATTAAAATCATGTTTGTTGTCTGCCAGTACAAAACGCTAACACAGTTTTCTAGCACTCATTATCAAGCTACAGTAAATAAATGCTAAACATATTTATTTCTTAACATTTGTCACTCTACATTACATTTTAGTTTGATTGTTTTGATCAATACATACACTCCATCAAAAGTTCTGATGTGAGGGTCATTAATTGACTGACAGTGTCGTAGGTCTAAAGAGTCCATCTCAACAACTTCAACCTGAGGAAAAACAAAAAGATTAATCTGAAAAAATCATGTTACTGTTAAATAGGGTCATAAATCATTTTTATATCATATTTGCAGAACAACTGACTTTGATATGAAACAACAAATTTCATGTAAGAAGTTCATAGTGCATATCATTTTTGTGTCGGAACTCTGGTATGTACAGAATTTGAACTCTGACCTCTATTTTCTTCAGGAGGACCTCAGCCTTGAGCTCTTGACCCACTTTGTCTTCCTGTAGGATGTTCAATGTACTGTTTTTGTTTCCAAATTTCATCCTGTCAATCATTGCCTTGATGTAAATCTGGGTAGAGGCCAAGTTTTCTTTCATCACAGGACCACAGGTAGCCTCAGTTGGTGAGGCAGCATTAGTTAGTGAGGACTTGACCACAATATTGGGGATTTCCCCTCCATCTGGACATCTCTTGGGTAGATTTGATTTTACTACCTTTCCATTAAATCTTATGTCACAGTTTGCTTTGTACTTCATGGAGCAGTAATACTTGGCAGATGTGGAAAGGTCCACTTGTATTGGGTATGCTGCTTCACCCTCTACAATCTTGATGTATGAGGCCTCGTTAATCTGAAAGTAATTAGCAACACCTCTGTGAGACTCAGGCAACTTTTGTGATCATAAACAATTTTCTAAATCAATTTAATTCTATTCGTTTTAGAAGTAGAAGCCAAGATTTCTTCCCATATATCATACATTGATCTTAAATAAAAAAAAAAAAATAATTCAGACAAAGGAATAAAAAAATAAGTGTGGAGTTCATTAGATGCAAAAGTAGATATATTCAAGGGTTGAATGTTTAATGATTCTTGTATTTTAGAAATATCAAATGTATTTAAAATTTCTTTTAATTAAACAAGGATGAGAAAGTTTACAAGTGGAAACACTGATGATTGTTAGTGATTCAACTTCATGAACTTTTTGATATTGCTAAAACTTCCATCATTACAGTACTTCAATAAACATTAGCATTTCAATAAACCATAACATATACTTACTGTGACTTGGTGCTTGAGAATACTACTTCTTGTTACTGAGCTAGTCACCTGTCCACAGGTACTGGGCTTTGATACAACCACCCCACAGCTTACCTGGGTAACAAAAAGTTATACATGTTTACCAATTCAAAACACATAGTCTTAATCCATAGGTTTAATACCTGGATTTGTTCATTTGAGAAGTGAATTTGCTATTCCACAATACAATTGAACAACTGCATACATTGAATACATCTTTTCTTACTTTAAAAATTGTTTGATTAAAGTAGTTTCTTTTTGGTGTATGTCATTATTAAAGAATATGTCAGTCAGAATTACTCAGGCCCTGATACTGCAATAAACTTGATTAAAATCGATAGATAGATATGTAAAATTACATTTTATATTTTTTATTAATACTAGAAAAAACTCTCACCCCCTGTGTAAGGGCATCAACTGTGTTGGTGATTTCAGTTGACTCCATTCTGTTTACAGTAGTTCCTGAAGTGAGAGTCTGTTTTCTGAGGATTGTCTCCCCTACATACCACCAGATGGTGTATTGTGTATCACTTCCTGCTGCTGATGTGACAGAGCAATCAAAAGACACCTTCTGGTAGTCAGCAGAGACAGAGTAGTCCAGAGTTGGTGCTGTGGAAACAGGGCCTACAATGGAAAAAATATCCCAATGGAATGCAGTGGAAGAGTATGTAAAATGATGGACTAAAACACATTTTCCATAAAAAGCCTCATGGCAGATTTGTTTCACAATAATTCTTCGCAAAAGTACATACTTTTTAAATGAATTTCATGACATAAAAACACGCAAATGTAAACAATATCTGCCAAAAATTTTTGGAAAGGAGAAAATCTTGACAACTAAATGAAAAAGGAAATCTAAAAAAAAATTTCTATTTTTTTAGCTATATCAATAGATTTGATTTCATTGGAAGCTCAAAACTTACTGATTACACAAGGTGTTGTTGTGCCTGGGGCTTCTGTGGTGGTTGTTCCAACAGTTGTGGTTGTTTCTGTTTATTGAAAAAATTCAATTAATTGCAAAATTTTACACTTCTCTTTGGCATGCAAGTTAGTATCCCCTTATAGCCATTAGTTAATAAAGAAGCAGTTTTTGAAAAAGCCCAAAGCAAGAATCCCACATAAACAAAACATGCAGTAACTATTACAGTTAAAAATAACAACATTCTCAAAAAAAGTTTATTTTAATGCATATCTAAGTACTGTGCAGACTTGCATAAAGTTAAGGTAAGATTTAAGTGGTAAAAGAAAGGAAACAAAGAGATAAGTGACTGAAAGGAAAACAGTGCTATGCTAACTAGAGTGGAAAAGTGTGAGGTATTAAGTTGGACGGATGATGATTTAATACTTCATGTGATGCTGCTGGTACTGATGTTGAGTGAGAGGCGTGTAGTGACTGCAAGGAGAGGAGGGGGTTACAGACTACACACCTAAAGAGGTCCTAGTTGTCTGTGGTTGGGTCGTTGTCACCTTAGCTCCCTCTGTAGTGGAAGTTGTTTCTGGTCCAGCTGTTGTCATGTGTGTGGTGCTTGTCTCTTGTGTAGATGTTGAGAGTGATTGTGATGTTGTTTGTTGTGACGTTGTTTGTTGGTCTGTTGTAGTAGTGCTTGTCATTTGTATTGAGGTAGATGTATCTTGTTCTGTGGTTGTTTGTTGTTGTGATGTTGCAGATGGTTTTACTGATGTAGAAGTCAATAGCTCTACTGAAGTAGTCTGTTCTGTAGTTACTGCTTGTGTTGTTTCAGATGTAAAAGTTTCTAATGTGGAGGTGGTTATACCTTGTTCAGTTGTTGATATTTTGGTGGTGGTTGTCACTGGTTCAGTACTGGTTGTAATTGGTTCAGTACTAGTTGTCACTGGCTCAGCTGTGGTTGTATCTGGTACAGTGCTGGTTGTACCTGGTTCAGTGCTGGTTGTATCTGGTTCAGTGCTGGTTGTCACTGGTTCAGTACTGGTTGTTGGCAGTTCAGAACTAGTGGTTGTCAATTCTAACAAAGTTGTAGTTGTATCAGGTTCTGAGGTTGTAAGATCTTCCGTTGTGCTTATTGTTGTTGGAACACTGGACGTATCTATGGTTGTTGTCTCATCTTCAGTTGTTGGTATCTCAGAAGTTGTCGACTCACTTGTAAGAGACTCAGAAGTTGTCTCTGGAGCTGTGGTTGTCTGTTCACTTGTTGTCACTTTAGTAGATGTTTCTGTAATTTATGAGGGACAACATTCTTTGTGTGTATTGTGTTAAACCTTATGTACACATGCACCCATGACTTTAGTAACAAAGAAAGCTAAAACAAAAGTCCACAATACTCTAAAGCTTACAAGCAGCATGCACACTCTCTAGTGAGTACTTTTAGTAAATTCTCTATTACACTCTTATAAAAGTTTGAAATTTGACTATACAGTTAGCTGGCATCTAGATTTTAATGAACTTTATTAATCCTACTTGCTACAGAAGAATGCTATTATGTACTGAAGTTTTTAATTTTTTAATATATATATTTTTTTAATTTAACAATCCAAAACATTTCACATCTAAAAAAAGAAATTATTCTCATTCTCAGCTGGAAAGATTGCCCTCAACATTGCTATTATATAATGATATTATATATATCATTTATATAATGATATTATATATATCATATAAGTACATGTATATATCCAGTATATTAAAACATAGATCGAACTGTGCATTTCAAATATTATGATGGTTACTCTTAATTTCTGAGCAAGTTATCAATGTATAAATTTCATACCAAAAATAAGCAGTATTATAATTTTTTGTGCAAGTTCAATGTTGAACCACAAAAATTATATAAATAATGTGATGTTATTTATTGTATGATACTCCAGATATTATACACACAATGTACAATAAAGTGAGTGGTACATTTCAAGTTTTATTTCTATGTTCAGCATTTACTTTAAAGCATAAGGCAATTAATGTGGAATCATTCAAATTCAGAAAGGTCATTTTGCAGATTTCTAAAACTCTAAATTTATTTATTTTTCTTAATTTTTTTTTGGGGGGGGGGGGCAATGAGATATCTATGGAGTCTAAAAAAAAACCCCAGAGCTTCATGATATATAATAATTTCACAATGCAAAAATAAAATGCTTAAAAAAATTTCAAATGTTACAAGACCTACATTTTAAAGTTTGTGTTCAAGTGGCAGATTCAAGCAATAATTTTACTTTTAAATTGACAAATATTTAGGTTCAATTTTTTCCCCCTATTTTCTATTCAAATTAGTTATCAAATAAAATTTTAATTAAAACTTAGCAACTCTTACTAAAAAGCTGTAAGCAAATTATTCCAACTTCAAAACCTTCCGGAATACAATATCAAGTATTTTACCTGAATACGAAGATATGTATCATAATTACCTGTCAAATCTAATGTACTAGTCTCTGATGTAGATTCCATTGTGGACATCTCCGTTGTTGACATTTCTGTCGTTGACATTTCTGTCGTTGACATTTCTGTTGTTGACATTTCCGTTGTTGTACCAGCCTCTGTGGTGGTCTCCATGGTAACTTCATCTCGAATCTTTTTCGTAGCTTCAGTCACTGTCCATCCATCTATAACAATGTTAGCATAGATGTTTGTCTTGATGGACAAACCAATGTAGAATTTGGTCGTAATGGATACTGTGACAATCTTAGTGATGTAAACTCTTGTAGATGCTACCTCCTTATCATCCAAGTACAAAACAAGACCATTTTGTTCACTCCATGAGAAATCAATCTTATAGAAAACACTGATCTTGATCATTGTTGTTTCCACTGTCCATTCTTTGGTCTCCGTACTGACCGTCAGGAACAACCGGTTTCTACGATAATACATGGCCACCCCAAATCCATCTGGCTCATCTCCACCATTTGAGAAAATGTACATGTTTTCTGTCAGAGTCACAAATTTCAGGTTGAAGGTTACAGACAAGCCAAACTCGCACCGACCAGGATTACTTAGACAACCATTGTCACTTGTGGTCAAATCTATATACTGTGTGGAGCCATCTAGCTGAAGAGCCTTTTCACCAGTGGGACCAGTCACTAGTAAGGGATTTCCAATTACAGTGTAGTTGGTGGACTGGGTAATGAGGACGTTGCTTATAATGCTGATGAAGGTATATGATATTTGTACCACCATGTCACCTATAATTGAAAAAAAAAAATAAAATTCAAGAGATCTTGACTTAAAATTTAAAAATATTTTAAATTTTTTATCTACATTCATTCAGGAAGTTATTCTCAGCTAAAATATTTGATCCCCACTGCAGGTCAAGCATGTCCTTAGAAAGGTGTAAAATGTTGATTTGAAAATGTGATTGTTGCAACTTACATGTGACTGTTGTATAGTAAGTGTGAATGTTATACCTTATGTGCGACTGTTGTTTCTTATGTGTGATTGTTGTAACTTACATGTTACTGTTGTAACTTGCATGTGACTGTTGTAACTTATGTTTGACTGTTTTAACTTATATGTGACTGTTGTAACATATGTGTGACTGTTGTAACTTAGATGTGACTGTTGTATCTTAGGTATGACTGTTGAACTTACGTGTAAATGTTGTAACTTACATGTGACTGTTGTAACTTACATGTGACTGATGTGACTGTTGTAACTTATGTGTGACTATTGTAACTTACGTGTGACTGTTGTCCAGCCGGTGGTGGTCCTGTTAGGAGAACAAACCTCAAGTGGATTTCCAGCATTCATAAATCCTCGCCCATAACAGTTTCCTCCAATTAAACATATGTCAGTCTGTGAAATAAAATGACAATGGTGCTATAGTTTTGAAATGAACTATATTATGTACATGTATGTCTGAATAATAAAAGAGCCTTTCTCTTGCCTTTGCATAAAATCATTATTCTGGCAGAAGACTTACCTTCAGAAACTTGATAATTTAGTAAACAACCATACATTAAAATAGCTTTGCCAAAGCCATCTTTTTGTTAAAATGAATAGAAAAAATCTTCTCTTTGATTCTAATACTCACCCTTTGAGAACATCCAGATAAATCACAGGTGTAGCAGGAAGAGTCGTAACCGATGAAAGTCAATTCGGCTCCGAAATTACTTCTGTCATTACTGACACTGACATTGTAGATTCCAGAGTCTGGCAGTTTACAGCTGACCTGTTCTCGACTGACAAAACTGGCATTGACAGTCACAGAACTGCCGTCTACTACAAATTCAACTCCTTGTCGTTTCTGTAACAAGAATGTCACTGCTGAAATTGCATAGCTGCTTAAAACAGTTCTGTTCTCGAAAGAAATCCATTTGACTCTTATAGTATCAGAGCATTGTTCTCCTAGTAAATAATGAACTTAATTTTGAATTCTATTCCCACCTTTTGAGTGCAAAAGAGAAAAAAATTCCTTTTCATAATAATAATATAGCCAAAAAAAATATTCTCTCCCTTAAGAAAGTTAACAGGGGGATATTAAGACTAGCTTAACTGACAAAGATTAAATTCCAGGGATCAGTTAAACATACCAGCTTTTGAACCTTGCAGACAAGAGTTTCAACCTGAATGAATCCATCACCATTTATAACAACACTTCTACAGTCCGACTTCAACAGGTCGCAGAGATAGTCGGGGATATCCTCAAATGTTGGTGGTGTTGTCAGGACAACAGAGCAATCATCTCCATAGTAACCAGCATTACAGGTACATTCACCTATTAAATGAATAATAATGATCAATGTAAATTTATCTAGTATGAATACTTAGTATACACATTTAGAAAATATACATGGGGGGGGGGGGGATATGTGCTAGTATTTGATTTCTTGATTTTATTTTCATTTTATCATTCATGTTAAGATTTATAAAAACCAATTCACAGAACCTTTCCTTATGAAAAAGTATAAAAATGTGTACATATGAAGATGGAAAGTTATGACATACAGAACCTTATTCACAACAGATTCCAACATTAAATGGTACATTAATCATCGACATGAGAAACTGGACTCTGTCTGGCTCTTAAAAACTTACTATCTTTACATGTTCCTTGTTTACTACACTCATTAGGACAAAGATTGTCAATGATTGCAGGACTAGGGACAATATCTCCAGACACATTCACCCAGAGTTCCACATTGACTTCCAGCTGAGTCTGGCAGAGCTGAAGAACAGCTGCTAATGCTCCCTCGGCCCAGGTAAAATCATCCATTATCTGTAAGCAATTTTACCATCATCATCCCTTTTATATTTTTTTTTTACATGATTAATGCATATAGCAATTCCTATTGTCATTACATTTTCTGTAATAAATACATTCTTTTTAAAAATTTTCTTGTCATAATGTCACATTTACTTCATAATAAAAATATCTCAGTAGTGTCCTACAAAACTTCTCATCCAAAAAGTTGTTCCAGGGATAAAAATTTACATGATTGTCATATTTTCAACTGAAAATTAAATGGTTGATACCTGAATATCAATGACACAGGAGTCGAGAGAGATGGAGAATCCAATGTCTGGGACGTTTTTACATCCCTGGAATCCCACACTGGCCTCTACTGTTGTTTTACATTTCTGGAATGCCTGCCTCTCTGTGATGTTACTGGCTGTCGGCCATGTGTAATCCTAATCAATCAAATTTAACTTATTATGCTTAACTGTTAATATCATGTCATTGTAAGTTCCCTACTTAAGTACCTTTGTAACATTTTTTTCTTTTGAAATGAAAATGAGTTTGACTGTTTGGCACTTTTCCAGAGAATTCAACATCAGAATTCCTACATTGACTGATAAAAATATTTATGTTCCATTTTTCTCTTCATTTGATTTAGTCTATGCAATTCTCAATTACAAAAAAATTAAATCTTCAAAAACTAACTTAATGATACATAAATTCCTGTAAACAAATCCTAAAGCATACCGGAGCAATGTAGGTAACATTGTATTCAAACAAGATGAGAGCTGATCTAGATAGACACATGGGGGGTGGGGAAACAGCTTGCTGAATAACGAGGTCTGTAATCTCCTCCCCTACTAGTCCTTTTTTCTTTCCCTTTCTCTTCTTGTCAGGCTTGACACATGAGGATATGTCAAGATCTGTTCCACAAACTGGGGTGGATCCAAGATTACAGTCACAGAACATGGGGACGGGAGGAATGACCTCATTCACTGTGTCTGTACAGACACCGGAGTAAAGAGTCTCAAGTCCCATCTCCTTAATCCTGTGGTGGAAAATAAAATCAAATTTAATAAAACCAGGTCGAATTTTTTCCTCAGGATGAATGGTAAGAAATGCAATCTGGCTTAAAGCACATATAAAGTTGGAATAAACTGCAACGTAGAATTTATGCTATACTGAAGGCAGTGATACAGTAACAAAGATCATATTCAAATTTTCATTTGATTTTTTTTTTATTGAAACAGGACAGAATGCAAAGACTTTCAATTTAATTGAAAATTAACTAACCACTAACATTCACATTAGTAAACATGGCATTAATTTGAAGTTGTTGATTACAATGAAATCTAATTACATATACAAGTAATTATAACCTCCAATGTATCTGTATCATAAATGACTTACCTCCAGCTCTTGGAGAACTCCTTTGGTCTCCTTTCTTTTCCTGAGTACAGCCTGCCATCAGGGAACAACAGATCATTGCTGGAGTCTCCATCGTAATGACCACATAAACCTGTGAAACAGTCATCAGTGCAAAATTAATAATGGGTGAAAATTTATTTACTTTAATATAAACAATATCTAATCACAAAAGTGAATGGGATTGGGCAGAAGACAAAGCCTATTTCAGCCCTGCTGAAAAAGTCATAAATTTGTAGTAAAAACAGTCATTTTAATATCAAAACTTGCTGAAAAGTCACAATGAATATATACTGTACTTTCTTTATGGTATACATTGTATATTTAAATTTACAGAATTCAATTTTTTTTTTGGTTTTTCTCTACTGGCCTATTAGCTAAATATCCAATCTCAAAGCATCTTAGTATTTAGAAATTTTCATTCTTTCATTTCATAGTTTTCTGTAAGATAACCAACCCATTGTGACAGTATCTTACCCTCTGATCTGGCTTATTCTTAACCTATGAATTCTGCACTGAGCTAAAGATACAATAACTTTCCATGTAAAGATGCAATTGTATCTTAACTCCTAGTGGCTGTCATATACCATGAGTTGATGTAAATGCCTGAATTGTGTAACAGGCCCTCCATATAAGGATATAGTATTCCTTTGCTTACAAACCATACATCATAATTTCTTGCTCTCTGAATTGATGTTCGTACCTTACTCTCTCAATTGAGACAAAAGAATTCCACTCTCTGAGTTGTTTAATATATGCCAATCAATCTCTGAATTGAGGCTAGTATTTTACCCCCTGAGTTGAGACTTGTATCTTACCCTCTGAGTTGAGACTAGTATGTTACCCTCTGAGTTGAGACACTAGAATCTTACCCTCTGAGTTGAGACACTAGAATCTTACCCTCTGAGTTGAGACTTGTATCTTATCCTCTGAGTTGAGACTTGTATCTTACCCTCTACAATGAGACTAATATCTTACCCTCTGAGAAGAGGATTGAGATGAGACTTGTATCTTACCCTCTACAATGAGACTAGTATCTTACCCTCTACAATGAGACTAGTATCTTACCATCTGAGAAGAGGATAGAGATGAGATTAGTATCTTACCCTCTACAATGAGACTAGTATCTTACCCTCTGAGTTGAGGTAATCATCAGCTGAAGCCTTGTACCAGAGTTGTAAGAATTCCTTCCTGTTCCTGTTGACCTGCACAATTAGCTCTCCTCCACTTGGGAACACAATCTGTAACATCAATGTAGTTATACTTCAAGAGATGGATGTTTGACTTTTCATTTTTGTCCACTCATGATAGAGTACACTTTTAAAAATTTTCATTTTTTTGTTGGTACCGTGTTTGTTTTATGTATGAGACAATCCAACCTTTTGGATGGCATTCAAATTAAAATGCTTGATTATAAATCACATACAACACTCTTTAAAGTTAAAAGGAATGCCCTTTAAAATGTACTTTTGATTTTTTTTTTCAATTTTTTTCTTTTTTCTTTTGAAATCACCAGTCTGTTCTTTCCAATTCCTTTACTTTTATCTTACTCTTTCCAATTCCTTTATTTTTATCTTATTCATTTTCCTTTATTTAATCTTATTCACTTTCCTATCTTCTTAGATTTCATTTAGATGAATGTTTTTCTAATTATGTAGTTCCCTGCCTTCCATGTTTTCCTATCTTACTTAGTTTGCTCCCTTTCCTGTCTGACTATCCTGAATTCTTTTCCTGTGTTATCATTTACCCAGATCTATGCAATTCCTGTGATCTTTGCATCATTCTTGTATACTTGACCTTTACTTGTACAAGCACACCCCATCTTACCTTGTATTTCCTTCCATTGTTGAATCTGCTGATGGTTGTGCCTGGAGTCAACTCTCCATTCAGATATAGCTTGGGAACCAGGGGCTGTTTTTTGGCTTTTTTCCTGTTTGCACCACACCTATCCAGAACAATGACGTCATCACCGATTCTTGCTGCTACAGCACAATTACATGCAGCACGCTTGAGACAGGAACGGTGGAAGGCTCGAATCTGTAAATCATAAGATGATGTTTAATGAAAAATCTTAATCCAAAATTACTTTACAAAAAGACAATCTACCTCATAATTTAAAATGCTTAATTTTATAAATAATCTTGATAAATAAAACCAAATATACCACAAGAAGTTTAAATGGTAAATACATGTACTATAATTTTACCAAGTCTGAGAAAAGATATTGACTAGTTTCATGATAATCTACTGATACATGTATCACTTACTACATTTACAAGGATATTAAAGTTTAAACTTAGGATTTGTAGATCAAGAAGACCACCTATTTTCCTTTGAGGGCTCCACATGTGAACAATTACTCTTTTAATATGTATCCTACTTTTCCAATTTTTTCCCAGAATGACCTCCCTAGCCTATATTTTTCATACACTTTTCATCAACTTCCATAGAGTGATCATTCATTCCTAATTATAAAGCAAGTAAGCTTTTTTCCCCTTTTTTCACTTTCCTGAAAGAAAAGCAAATAAGGTTTACTTACTTCATAAGGGAGTGTTTTGTGTCGGTATAAGATGAACTCTCCTTCTTGGAAGACATCAAATGTCCTATAGAGGAAAAAAAGCATGAGAGTGTAAAACAGGTCAGAATGTAAATCATTCTGTCTTTAAACATGCATAAATTTTAAAAGGATGCCATCTTATAAATTTTTACATAGAACAAAAACCTCTTCGACATCATAAGACTTACCTTTTATCGAAAGTGGTAATGTGAGGATCTCCAAGAGATCGACATACTGACAACCTGTCTTTATCAATGACCTCAACTTTCACTGTATAGCTGACCAGTTTTGGGGACATCACTGTTCCAATAACAATGGACACATCAAGCTGGATGTTCAAATTCTTATTCTTATCCTTCAGTCCTTCTGGAACTCCATAAACATTGACACAGGTCTGCTTCGTCCACTGAGTGTCAGTGATGGTGACTCCACACCCTGGTGTTTTGACCTCATCACTCTGTTTGAATACGGCCTGAGGTATGTAGCGGCCAGTGGCACACTTGGTCTGTCTGTGAGATTGGAAGCCATAGGAAACATGGATGCCACAGGTGGTGGTATTATCAGTAGAGTTACAGAAAAGTCTGGGCGGGAATGGGGTCTCCAACTTCACACATTCCGTATCTCCTCCCTCAAAAACAGTGACCTTACTTGACACCAGCTATAACATACAATGTTCAACAATGTTTGACATCAAAACTGAGGACATCATCTTCATATTAATGTCTTTCCTATATACATTTATTAGGTTTAAGTCTATGAATGTCACTGTATGTAAAACAATGTACTAAACATCAGGTTTATTACAAGTCTTATATGTATTAATAATTTTAGGGTTGAATTGCTCCATTTCAAGATATATATAATTAAAACGTTTCTCCTTTTTCATTAGTACAATGATCCTTATACTAAAACTCTGAAATAACCTTGATGGCTGTACTGATTTTGTCACTGCGTTTCTCAGGACCTCTGGTGTTATCACAGTTGTCAGTCAGACAGGCTGATACTCCACAGTACAGCTGATGTACAAAAACACATTACATAGATTAGTATATACTACACACACAAAACCATGTCTACCTTCAACATACAAGAGATTTACAATTAAGAGTCTTATATGCAGAAATTTTTGAATGACCACATTATAACTTTTTCTGTAAATACAACAATTATGATACTTTGAAAAAAAGAAGACAGCTATTCATTATGAGTAAAAAAATTAAATCAAGAAGCTTTGAATAGAATCAGTTACTGCATAAGTGCAGTCAAATCATTATTATATTACATTGTATCATCAGAAAAATTAATCTACAAACCTCAGCTCCAAATGTCAGTGTTCCCATGTCTTGTTCAGTGAGTGTAGCTCTGGTCTCATTTCCAATATCAGCAGTCTTCAGGAGCCTGTCGTCCTCATACCAGGAAACAGAGTAGGAATGGGAGGGGGAGAGAGACTCAAACGAACACAGGAGGGACACCTGGTCATTGTTCATGTGACGGGTTAAAGAGGGGGACTTCTCGAAAGATGGTAACTCTGCAGAAGCATAAACCAAATACTCAAGATACTAAGTACATAAAAAGAATAACTTGAGTTATTCTCACCAGAGGGTATCTGATTTCTTATTCAATTTTTATTTTTTATTTTTTTTTATTTTATTTTTTTTTTTTTTATTTTATTTTATTTTTTTTTTGCAACCACATTTTATTTTTAATTTGTACAATTAGGTAAAAAGAAATTACTCTTAATAATGATACTGTTAATTATAAAATATATTTCAGACACAAACACACACCCATAAAATGTCTTTTCTTTTTAGAGTTGAGAGTTTAAGTACCTTCTCTAAGGAACCTTAAGTGTGAGTTACCTGTCTTGATTCCTGCTCCAGTGATAATTTCTGTTGAGGCAAACACTATAGTGAAGGAATCAATGGCCATTCCACAGTTCTTATCTTTCTTGGATGATCCACCGATTACAAAGTCTCTGACAGCAGAGTATATATTTGCAGGTCGACTGACATATCTCTTGCTAGATGCCTGAACTTTTTTGTCAATACTTAGCTGCAATCCACTCTGAAGACTCCAAGACATTTCCACCTGCATGAATGTCTCCACCTTGATGGATGAAGTGGAAATGGTCCACTCTGACTTTCTGTTGCTGGTTCTGGTGTAGAGTTTGTTATTCTCAAACCACATAGCATAGCCATAATTTGTGGCTTCCTCTCCACCGTTACTGAACACGTAACATTTAGAGCTGTGTTTTTTCAGCTTTAAGTTAAATCGTATAGTGACTCCCTTTGTACATTTCTCCACATCACCAAAACAAGATGTTGTTTGATCTCCGTAAGTTAGATACTGCTTTCCATCCAAATCAACTGCATTTCCTCCAGCAAAACCAGGAATTAGTTTTGGGATGCCTGTTCCACCAATGGTGATGTTGAAAGTCTTAGTGATCAAGAGCTGATTAAAAATTCTTATAAAGATGTAGTTCTTGATAATGATGTTACGGACTGAAAAAAAAACCAAAACCAATTCATTGTGACATGAGAATAATGTAAAGATTTTCTATAAATACAGTTTTACAACTTGTGAATATATTTCTTTAAAATTGCATATTTTTAAGGTCTTACTATTAAGGGTTTCCCATTGTGTTGTGGATATTTTGATATCACAGATCTGAGTGGCATCCAAAGGATTGACAAAGCCATCAGCATAGCACTTCCCATTGATCTTACAAATGTCAGTCTGCAAGGCAAAGGGTCAATCACAAGTTTAATTTATAATGATACTTATGATGTATCATACAGATCTATAATTATAGCTTATGAGCATCAATAGTTGCAATTTATTTGATTCAAAAATAGTCGTCATCAGGTTTTAATAAGAATTTTTTTTTTGGAGTCAAATTTATTTGACAGAAATCTGCAGCTGCTCCAATTACAATCTGGAAAACACGAAGTACTACCAGACTGCTAAATTTTACCTTGTATACCAGACAGTGAAAATGCAACTTCAACGTTTTTCATGTAAATGTTTATAAATATTTTTTTTTGCATAAAAACACCAACTAATCAAAAGTTGAAGAATAATAAGTTAATAAATACACAATAAACTTACCCTAAGAGAACAGGAAGTATCGTCACAGATCTCACACACCGAGTCGTACACTACAACTCGTACTGAAACACTGATCAGAAGTCCGTCATTACTGATAGACAGATTTCCTCTATAGGCAGGACATCTCACCTCCTCCTCACTTCTGAATATAGCTGATGTGTTGACCATTGACTATAAATTATGATAAAATTATCATTCAAATAGGAATTTATTGCAATCCCTTCACATACATTAATTAAGATTTTTGGCTCAATATTTTACAAAATTCATTGCTTTATACATATTTATGAATGCTAAAAGGGTTTTACACTTTAATATCTTCTACCTTCCCAAATCAATTGTTAAGAGCAACCACTCTAGCATTTACATTATTTGTGTACTGCATAATACATTTCTATGAGTCTCTTACATTGTTTTCAGCTAATGTATAATGACAGGTGAGTGAAGGTTGATCCAAGAAACCAAAGCCTTGAACGAAGAAGAAGAGACAGGGTCCCTGACTCAGGTCACAGACGGCATCAACCACGCCCACTACATCGGGGGGGTTAGTGGTCAACAATGAACAATCCTCCCCATCAAAACCAGCATTACATACACAGGACCCTGAGAAGAAGGTATGTGAATTTTACTATGAATGTGACCAACTCTTAATGCATGATTTTACAATATCAAAGACATTTATTTTTCATAATTTTTTTTCTGCAGGGAAAGTTAATTAAATGACCTCTAATGTTTATATATTACACAAGTACAAAGTAATTTATTTACCACAAATTCATTATTATTATTAATTTTATTATTTTATAGTATTTTTTCTAAAGAATATCCACATTTTTTAGCATACCCAAGACTTTCCTACAAACATATTTTTAAAAGTATTCTTGAATGAGAATCAATACAAGGAACAATTCCAAATAATATGGACAAATTAACTTTACCATTGACACATGCACCCTGTTTGTTACAATCGTCAGGACAAATGGCCTCAATGACTGCAGGAAGTTCTGGGACACTGCCCCCGTCAGTAATCCACAAGGTCACATCGGTTTCTATGGCAGTCACACATTGTTCTTGTAAGTTTTCTAGAGCTGTTACCAGCCACTCTAAGCTGTCCATTATCTTGAAAACAAATAGACATTCATAGAACAAATACAGAACAAGCTGAATGGGATATTATGACAATTTGATCTACTCACATCTGTTTTCAGTTTAGTATATTTTGAAATTGTCACATTTCAAAATGTTATGCTCTTTTGTATTCGATATTAAAGAGTTATTATATTGTACTAGAATGAACCAACCATGATGTCATCAATGCAGTTTTCTAGGTTTCCTATCTTATCAACATTGGCAATAGCACCACAGGCATCACCAGCAGAGGACTGAGCGATGAACTGGGTACAGTTGTTAACTGCCATCTCCCGTGTGATTCCATTGGGTGTGGGGAATGTAGCACCCTGTATTAAGAACATCTCATATATTATTCTTCAAGAAATTCTTAAAGATATGACTCAGCGGATTTATGATTCTAATTTGATACAGGAATACTTGATATCAAGAGAAATTTCAGTGGAAACATTTCCAGATATTGTTTCTCTTAACCTCTCATTCGTGTCTCCAAAAAATATACTGAATTTTACAATAAGAATATACCAACAGTATATTTTAAATCTTGACCACATTCTATAAACATCAACATGACACAATCATGGAAGATAAATGAAAAGTCGGTAAAATGAGTTGTCACAACAACTTACAATGAAGACATAGGTGATGTTGAATTCAAATATGATCCTGGTAATAGTGGACTGACAGAAGAACTGCTGTGACTCATCAATCAAATCCTGTGTAATGTCTACAACTATATTCAAACACAATAGTTTTCATTAAGCATTATCCACAAATCTGTCATCAACTGAGCATTTTCAATTCTGAAACATCTACATAAAATGTTACTTTTACATCACTATTTAGGTTTTTAATGAAAAATTAGACATTATGATAAATAGTTGACAGTATCCTGGTTCTTTCTAGATAATTCATCTCCGTTTTTTATAATTTGAGCATATATTTTCCTTACGTTTCTTGCTTTTGCCTTTTTTCTTGCTAGTGGCCTTTGAGAAGCTTCCACAATCACTGACAGGGCTGGCCCTACACTGAGGGATCATTCCTGCCTCACACTCACAGTACTCAGGCTCATCAGGAGAGGAGTCAGTAGAGACAACACCACAGTATCCAGAGTAGAGGGACTCAGACTCAGGTACTCTGTTAATAACATAACAAATGTAAGTCAGTAGTGACAACACCACAGTATCCAGAGTAGAGGGACTCAGACTCAGGTACTCTGTCAATAACATAACAAATGTGAGTCAGTAGTGACAACACCACAGTATCCCAAGTAGAGGGAGTCAGACTCAGGTACTCTGTTAATAACATAACAAATGTGAGTCAGCAGTGACAACACCACAGTATCCAGAGTTGAGGGACTCAGACTCAGGTACTCTGTTAATAACAAAAGTGAATTCATTCTGCACAAACTTCTGAGCATTTTGTAAGTTAAAGTCAGATTAGTCTCAAAATTACAAAAGTTTGCAAGTATCTTCCCCATTTATTTAGCTAATTTGAATTAAACTATTTAATTAAAATGCAAAAAATATATTAGTAAGTACATAATTCTTTTGCAAGAGTTGGTTATTTGAGAGCATACACAACTCCTATTACCTCCATTCCACAGAGAATTCATCAGGCTGCTTTTTATCGACTTTTACCCCAGCCTTTGTTACCAAATCATTGTCCTTATCACCATCATAATTTCCACACAGACCTGAACAAAAAACAAATAAATTCTTCTTTTTCTTGTAATCTTTCCTGCACAACTACTTCATTTACCCAAAGTATTTCACATTGCCTGTCTATGTACTGTTAACTTGGAAATGTTTGTGTGGGGGTAATTTTTGCTAATTCTGTGATCACTTAACTTTTGCAAAAATTATCTCCACATTTTGAGTTTCAAAAAGTGGTTCTATATATTATTTTTAATAATATATTTTATGACATTTTTATTTCTGCAAAAATAAATCCTACATGTTCAGTTTCTTACAAAGAAATTGCAAAGTTAAAGAGATGAAATAGAAGTACCTTCAACATTTTCATAATCTAATGGTGATCCTTTCATCCAGACATTGATAAAGTCTCTCTGGGGCTTAACAATCACCTGTCCTCCAGTGGGCAGATTGATCTGAAATACAACAGTTTTATTATAGTAGGTGTATTAAATTCTTCCTCAATTAAATCACTAATTTTAATAAAGAGGACATGAAAATATATTTTTCTGCATTTCTGGAATAATTGTTATCAATTCTTAAATAATTATATAAATATTATACTGTTAATGTATTAGATTTAGTGTCTACAATATTTGGCAGAAATTGATTTTTTCAGTTAGCGTACACGTAGATTTGTTTTAGCACATTTCTGAATGTATATCAATTATACATATCCAAAGGTGATGAAAAGAATAAACAGCCAAATGTAATATTTTAACAGTATACAATCATTAACATATCTGGAACCTTTTTAAAAACAACTTATTTTACACATTTCATAATTCATTTTCAAGACAGTAAATTCAAATTTGAACATAAAGGAGGGTACAAAATTTCTTGATACATAGTAACCTGACCAGTATTTTGATATTGAATTTAATTCAAATTCTTCTTAAGAAATAAATATTATGATGTTATAATCCATGTATTTGCTGCAAGCAAGTTTATTACTGCAAGCTCTGAGATTTAGTGTACATGTGACACGTTTCATCAAAGAAATTTAAAATCTAACATGACAATAAACAAGCAATTATACAATTTGATACTAACCTCATATTTCTTTCCCTTTCTGTGCTGATAGACTGAGGTTCCTGGGGTTAGCTGCCCATTCAGATAGAGTTTTTTGGTCAGTGGGCGTCGTTTCTTTTTGCCTGTACGTCTAGTTTTGCCACATACATCCAACACAATGACATCATCTCCAGATCTCACAGCCACAGCACAATTGCAGGAAGCTTTTTTGTTACAAGATCTGTAGAACGTGTGTACCTGTAATAAAAATTAAATCTTCCATTATACAGACTGATGTTCTACTTTTCATAAACGAAATTATTTCATAGAAAAAAGAAATTTCTGAGAACATATTGAATTTTGCAAGGAAAAAACTAAACTGAGTTTTTCTCAAGATATCTGAGATTGCTAGGTAGCTGTCTCAGAAGTCAACTTGAAACAAAAATGGCTGCCAGGTGCATTATAATGCAAATGAAGTGCAAGGAAATATTTATCTGGAAAGTTCCATTTAACATAGTTAGCATAAAAAATCTTCATGTGATAATATCAACAATATGAACTATAACACAACAAACTTACAGCATAGGGTAATGTCTTATGGCGATAGAGCACAAATTCTCCTTCAAAGAAGTTGTCATATTTCCTAAAAATAAAGTTACTTGCATGAAGATCACAGATGCTAATAATTTGATAATCCAGCTTCATGCATTAAATTCATAATTTGGTATATATTACATGTATATTAATCAGTTTACAATTTTAAAAAAATCCCTTTGCATTTAAAACTTAAATTTTCCAAAACTCACTTCTGATCGAAAGTGGTCATGTGAGGATCATTGATGGACCGGCATGTCACGACAGATTTTGAGTCCCGGATTTCAACAGGAATTCTGGCCACGTCAAACAGGGTCCTCAAACTTCCCACCATCACTAAGAGCTGGATCTGAATGGTACGAGATTTTTTTCCATCTTTTATCTGATCAACAGTTGCCTCAATTTCAATTTCTATATCTCGACCCCATGTGATGGGATATGAACACATAGAATTATTTGTTTCTGGAGATCGGAAAACTAGCTGTTGCATTGTACTGCCATCTAGACACTTTGTCTCTCTGGAGTTTGTCTTGAGTGAAGAGACAACATATAATTTACAATTATCTCGACTGGCAGCTGGACAGAACAGTCTCGGAGGAATCAGATTTCGCCCTCGGAGAGGTTTCTCTGGTTTCTTTCCTTCATAAATGACCATCTTTTCCTCATCAAACTGTAAAGAAAACACGATGTTAATTTCAAATTAACTTTTGTGAAAAATTCAAGTAAGACAAGTTCAGTAGCTCTCTTCCTAAAAAATCTTAAGTTTTTGCGTAAGATTTTCACCTAAGAATCTCTTACGACAAATCTTAAGTGCTTTTCATAAATGCGTTCATAGCAGATTAAATTTAAGAATTCATACGAAAATCTTAAGTGAAACTGCCATTGTAAATATTTTGCAGTATATTTCATTTACTGTAAAAACAGAAATATTCATTGGAGATAAAATTTCGTTAATTTTGTTGTTAACAATTATCAACGAAATTAAACCCAACAGGAAATTTTTATATAACTATATATTGAATAGGATTACTTTCGAAACAACGAAATTAAATCCCCACGAAACCTTTTTAGATGAAAAATCAATGAAATTCTATCCCTAAGAAAATATGTGCTTCTACAGTATTTTTTCGAAAATAATTGTGAAATAAAATGCTATAATTATAGGATGCGTAAAAAATTTCTATTAAACGTTTACTTGGGTTTTATCTGTTATATTTTAAAATTAAATTTGGCTCTAAGATACTTACGAGAGGGTAAGAGATATCGTAAAGTTACGACAAATTTTACACTCACGAAACTTGTAAGAATTTTTGTAAAAAGGAATAAAATTGTAAGATTTCTCTTACTCTGAAAATTAATGTAAGATTTTTTGTGAAAAGAGCTACAGTGTTCTTTACAGCATTCATTGTGAATCTTATGCCTGAACTGAATCTTACCTCCATAACCATCCTAACAATGCTGCTACGCTTAGCTGGTCCTCGGGATGCACTGCATCGATCCCTGTAACATGCACTAACCTCGCAATACATCTGTAAAGAACATGATTCAATTAAATCCTACTGTTTTTTTTTTTTTTTTAAAAATGTGCTTCTCTCTCTCATTTTTGTCATGCATGCATGATATGAATATGAGATGTATAATCCAAAATTTGTCCCCCAATCATTCTGGTAAAGTAACCACGTTAAATTATATTTTTAAGAGACTGACATCTTTCAAGACGAAAAAGCTGAAGATAAACTGTGATCAATCTCATAAGTACTGTCAATAATATGAACCACAAACAAAGCAAAAACACAGATCTCTGGAAACACAAGAGATGGGATCAGGTGTCAAGGAGTAAGCATCCCTTGCAGTATCTCAGTTTCCAGGTTATTAATCATTTATTTAAAATATGGAACACTGAATTTCCAAAGCATCTGCAAAAAATTTGAAATCATGAAGAAGGCACTTACTGAACTTCCATATGTGAGATCACCAGCATCATGTTCACTAATCATAACTGGACTAGTGTTGTTGGTTGCATTAGCAACCATTCTATTGTTGACATAGAATTCCACTATATAATCCACATCTGCAGCCAGTTGAGTAAACTCACATTGAAACTGAACACTTTCATCTGGATTAGCCACAATTCGGAGGGAAGGTGATTGGGTGAGTTCCGGAAACCCTTAAATCAATACAAAATTATTATTCCATCCTTAAGCACTGTTAAGACTAAAATATTCCAAATGCAAAAGAGACTGAAAGAGACAAAGTTTATATTGTATGCAAGATTCTGGAATATACATTTGCATTAGACAATTTCTACTGTATATATCAAACTCGTTTGCAGCTCTTTGACAAGCTTATTAAATATTTTCTTTCTTTATCTTAACACTTTGTTGCTAGTTTATTCTTAACTGCTAAAGTTCAAGGGCATATAACATTCTTTTGTATCCACTACCCCCAAATCCACCTATAGTATATAGCTTACCAATGATGTAACCCAGCTGAATCAGTATGTCTCTAGAAGCCAGCAGAATGTGGAAGTATTCAAGCTCCATGTTAGTAAAAGACGACTGGTCTTGGTTTGTTCCAATATAGATCGGACATTTTTCTGGCAAAGATACATCCCTATTGGTATACTTTGTGGTTCGTGAAACCTCCACTCCCTCAATGTAAAACACCAGACCATACTGTACACTCCAAGAGAATTGATAGGCATAGAAGACATCAGTCTTAACATCGTTGAACTCAACACTCCATTCTCGGCTCCTGGTGCTAACCGTGAATATAAAACGCTTGTTGACATAACGGAGGTCATATCCTACACTTCTAGGGTTTGAGCCACAGCTAGAATAAATATACATGTCATCTCTTAGGCTGAGGAAGCGAATGGTGAAAGAAAATGTAATCCCAAGGTTACAGAAATCTGGGTCAGAAAGACATAATCCTGGATGATGGGGCAAGTTTAAGTACTGGTCAACACCATTAAATGTCAAGGACTCTTTTCCATTTCTGTTTGTACGCAGGTTCATGTTACCACGCTGGAGAATATTTCCTGCCTCAGTCACTAGATAACTCCCAGCAATCCTCAGAAAGTATAACCTATACTCGTATATAACATCCACTGAAAAAAAAGAAAAACACGATTACAGTGGTGTGTAATATATGTGTTTGTCATCTTCATTAAGAATTGCAAACCAGTTATCAATTTCTCCTACCAATAAAATAAAAAACATCTCTAGAACAATAGTCAAGAATTCATAAAAATACCTTGCATACACTTTTAAATTCTAAAATTGCATTCAAAACTTTGTAAATTAGAACACCAATATATTGAATACCAGGGGTATGATGAAGGGAGTAGATGATTCCAAACTTATCATGAAAATAAATTTTAACTTTGTTATCTCAAAAACCTCGGGTATCTCTGATTTTTTTGATAGCCAATTGTATCATATTCCAGATATCCAGATTTGACAGTATACATGAACACAAGTTATGATGAAATGTTTGCAAACTGTTCAAACTTAACTGTAATACTCCACTCTACCTTAATATTGAAATATTGAATAAGAATTCAGTTACCTCTTAATACAGTCCATGAGTCTGTGCTGTAATCAGGGAGACAAGCTAGGTTCTTCTGATCAGGTTTGACAAATCCGTTTTCATAGCACACCCCAGCAATCACACAAATATCAGTCTGCCAGAGAAATATAGACAAGGTCAACATTCTAACAACTTCTTCAAGCCATTAAAATATATGTGCTAGGCAATTTGTAAGTTACTTAAAGACTACTTAATCACACATAACTATTTCTTTACATAAAATTGCAAGAAACTTAGAAAAATCTATGAATAGGCTTACCCTTCTTGCACAGCCTGTCAGAGTGCATCGATTACAGTAGCTGTTATAGATGATATAGACTTTGTATTCACTAGTGGTCTCCCCATTGTTACTGACTGCTACCTCGTACAATCCTTCTCCCGGGAACGTACACACCACTGTCTCAGAATTCACATACTCAGCTTTACTGGTATTCACACTGGATATTACTGTCAGGTTTGGCTGAGATAGATCAAAAACACCTTATTTTGGATATTTATAATCATCAACCATTACTAAAGAGGCAATCTTTCGCTAAAGTCAAATCTTCCAAACAAGAAATCAAGGAAAAATTTGAAGTCTTTAGAACGGGAGCAATATCTACATGTGTTGTCATTATTTCCCTTGTGAAATATATTCATTAACTTATAATTCTTCATTTAAGAAATGAAATATGATCATGCATACATGAATGATAAAATCTGAAGCAAATAAAGACAAAAACAATCTTAATTTATGAAAATGTAAATTAGAACACATGAATTTTTAATAACTATATTTTACATATTACTTTTTTTTGTACAAGGGATAGATTTCAGCAATTTTCAAGTAAAGTTATGAAAAGCTTACTGCTAAATTTCTGTAATGACAAGTGAGATTCTCCACTTCAGCAAAGTCATCTCCAAATAAGTTCACAGAATTGCAATCATAACGATTCAGATCACATGGCTTTCCTTCACCGACAATGTCCAGTTCTGGTGGTTTATTAATGTTAACCGAACAATCGTCTCCAATCCATGGATGATCACACTGGCAGAGACCTTTAAAATATTACATTTTCTGATTGAATAAAGTTGCAAAGGAATGTAACCGGTGAACAACACATACATATAAATCTGTCAAGTTCTACTTTATTCTTCTTTTTTTTAGACATGAATGTAGACATAGGGCCAGCATCTTCAGTTAAGAATTTGGGAAAAAAACAGACAAACCAAGGAAATTCTAAACTGGAGATTTTTTTAAATTCAATATCATTTCCAAACCTCAAATCTGTGTCCTTGTGTTAATATGTTGTCTTAATGTATTTTTTCTATACTATGAATCTTAGTCAATTTATTTCTTCAAAAGCAATAAAATTATGACAAAACATTCAAATTGTCCAAAAAATGTTAGATAATTTTTTTTTCAAACTTTTATTTGAAAAAATCATCATCTAATTTAAATCTTTGCAACAACAAATTTCCTTATTTTAAATTCTTTTCTTAGGATATGGACCAAACTTCTGCTCATCATCTCAAACAAAGTATAAATTATTTAGAACTTTAAGCAAAAACTTCAGATAACTGCTTATGCATAAATGTTATTTAAATCTCATATCTTTAATAAAACATAAAACAATGACTGGTTTTTTGTTGTATACTCTGAACCATATTGCAGAAAATGATATTTACATCTATTAACAGAGCATTGAGCAGGGTTAAAATAACAAAAGTGATCCAAAGATTGATCATCTCTCACCATCTACACAATTTCCATTGTTATTACAGCTGTTGGGACAAATGGCTCCTGTTATTGTTGGGGGAGGGGCCACTACACCTCCCTCTATAGTGACCCACAGAGTAATGTCTACCTCAATGATGACTAGACACTGTTCCTGTAGATTGTCCAAACTCTCATTGGCCCAGGTCAGGTCATCTGTCAGCTGTTAATGGTAAAAAGGAATAATTTATGACTTTGAAAGTAAGGATTTTTTTTTTTACTACACAAACTCAAAATGCATCATTTTGCAATGAAGGCTAAATGATCCTGTCTTCCTAATATGTTAAATTATTTCACGTCTTTTGAAAATATTGTTTTTAAAATCTTCTTATATCTACATGTATACTTGATACTGCTAACACTATTTTTCCCAAAAATAATATAAAATTTTTCACCCAACAAATTAAATCTATCAACCCCAACCATTTTTATTTCTTTAATCTACTGAACTATTTTTCTTCTACAACCTAAAACAGCATTTTTCCTACACCCTAAAACAGCAGTCTTTTGAAATACTGTTTAAAATCTTCTTATCTATATGTTTATTGTAAATGATCCTATTAAAAGAATTTTTCCCAAAAATAAAATAAAGATTTTCAACAGACAAATTTAATCTATCAACCCCAACCACTTTCATTTCTTTTATCTACTGAATTATTTTGTATCTTACACCCTAAAATAGCATTTACAATGGTGTTGCTGTCACAAGAACATTAGGTGCATGAATGAGTCTTGAGTACACTGTGATGATATGCATATTAAAAAATCACAATACCCATAACAACATGATTTATTTTATGTGAACCTAAGAAATGGTAGTTTATAATGCTCTGAAATCCTACCTGGATGTCTTCCAGACAACCCTCCAGAATGGGTTCAAAATCCATACCAGGTACACCCAGACACTTCCTGCCAGACTCTTTGGACTCTATAAAACCTTGACAGATTGATATGGCTCTGTCTTTGGTGATACCATTTGGTGTTGGCCATGTCAACTCCTGTTAATAATAAAATGCCCCATTTTGAAATATGTAAACTTAAAACATCATAATAATAATAAATGTGAAACTCTTTCAAAACAATCTGCAACTTATAGTATAGCTTTTTGATGTTCAGAAATGATCATTCTTAGCAAGAATAGCACTGATTGTATATAAAAAAAATTGCTGACATTTCATATGAAAAAGATAAAATTTGGTTAAGAAAAACAATAGATTTACCTTTTGAATATACTTTGGGTCATATTCAAACACCTCTGGTGGCTGTGTGGACACGCATCGAGTTGGAGGGGACTGTGCTTCCCGAATGAGTTTCTGGGTCAAATTCTTCACTCCTGTACCAATGTAAAAAAAAAAATCTAAATTTGAAATTGGTGTCTGATTAATTCTTTCAACAATGTCACAAAAATATTTCAAACAAGAAATTTCTAAAGATGACTTGGCTATATGTGAAGAATTCTCATGTAAATAAATGGAAGTTTTTGTTTCAATTAGCTCTCTTTACCTGCTCATTACACAAAGCATTAGGACAGAATCATGACTCCACAAATCATATAGCAGTTCAGGTATTACAATCATGTACTGTATGTGTACTTAAAAAAGCGGACTTCATATTTTGGCGGCTTTGGCGCAGACAATGATGCGCCAATTCATGAATACTGCTAAGAAATCATTTATAAATACAACATTCAGCAAGGACCTGTATAGTGCTAATTCATGATTTCGCCAACAACTCCAAACCCAGTGACTGTGCTAAATTTTGAATGCGATAATTTATGTACATGTACAGTACTAATTAAAGTCAGGGAAAAAAAATTATTTGTTGTTCAAAATATTTCAGTTGTTCAAAACATTTCATCTTCATATGTCTACAGAAAAAATTTGAGGACAACAATTACGAGAGGTTATTTGGGGTGAATGCTTATCATTGTCAAAGTCATCAATCCACAGACCAAAACTTGGATCCCCCCAAATTGATACCTTCTTTATAACTTGTTAGTCATAAAGTTCACATTAACAAACATGTCGATTTGATATTCAGAGTTTATAATGCTTCAATAAATGATGGGACTACACATCCTAAACTGCACAAACATATGCTGTTGTCCATACCTTTTTTGTACTTGTATTTGTTTTTTCTCTTCTCTATTTCTTCACAGGCCATGATGTCCAATCCTTCTTGACAGACAGGGTCCTGATCCTCCATACAGTCACAGTATGTGTCCTCTACAGTCCTCGTGTCCCCACCAGGACAGTATCCTCTGTACAGACTCTCCTCTCTTGACACCCTGCAGAAAGACATCAAAAACTAAATAATTTAACAATTTTTAATATGGGAATAAACAATTCTATGTTTTGAAGACATACCAATATGCACTCAAAGACAGTCTTCAAAAGCATTCTTTACATCAATAACAAGCCTATACACCTTAAAGGTTACATGAGTATCATAAGTTTCTCAACATATAACAAACTTAGCTGTCCTAACGAGGAAGGACCTCTGTGCATGTGAGATGACTTTTACTACATGTATTGTGGTACAGAACTCCTGAAACATATAGAAGGCTCAGGAATAATATTTTTTTAAGAATGCATAAATTTTGATGGTTTTGGCCTCATCCTTTATACCTAAAAAGGGTAGGGATGATAACTCATAATTTTTGTTTACCTTCATTTATACCAGATTTGGTTGAAATTGGTTTAGAATTTTTTTAAGGTCAAAGCAAATAATGACTGACAGAAAAAAAGACTCAAATGAAATAAAAAGTAACAACCTTTTTACCCCACCCCTACCCCCCTGGAGACCATTCCAAACACATTTCTTACCTCCATGTTTGTGAGAACTCTGTTGGTTGTTTCCCTCTTCCCCCATACAGAGTTCCATCTCTCTTTGTCAGATCATTTGTCTTGTCACCATCAAAGATACCACACAGACCTATCATGAACAACAATATATCGTGTCAGACTTGTTACCATACAGATCTATCATAACATTATATCAAGTAAGACTTGTCACCACACAGATCTGTCATAATCAACATTATATCAAGTCAGACTTGATATAAGACTGTCTCCAAATTAAGTCATCTTGGATACTCATAATACTGATCTAAGGCTTAAGTGAACCCGTGCAAAATATCGTCTTCATTATCCTGAATAAGATTTATTTACTCAGTTGACTTTCTACATTACAACCATATAAAATTATCTACTGAATAAAACATGAAAATACAGAATCACAGTTTATTATTAAGTCTACCTTCTGTGTTGCCGTAGTCAGCAGAAGATGCCTTCAGTTTAACATTGATAAACTGACTGGTTCTCTTTCTCCCATTCATCACTACAACTGTAGCTCCAGTAGGTAAGACAATCTAGAAAATCCATTTAATATATTCAAAACATTGCCGTTGATTCAAAAATATTGTCTCATTCAATTCTGCATGACCCAATGTTTTCCCTTTCTTTTGTCCCAAATTTTCCCTTCAAATTTATATCTTAAGCATTATTTTCTTTCCACTATACCAAAGTGACTGGCACAAAAATTGCCGTCAGAGATAAATTACATAAGCTCATCTCTCCAGTGTTCAAAATGTCATATTTCATGGGATTAATATGCCAATTTTAACAACTATGTCTAAGAATGAGAAACTTACCCAGTATTTCTTTCCACCTGATTTTCTGAGGACTTCAGTGCCCTCAGTAAGGTCTCCATTGAGATACATCTTGAGTTTCATCCTTCTTTTGTTGGAGGACTTGCCCATGGATGGTCCACATCGGTCAATGACAATGACATCATCCCCTGAACGAACAGCCACGGCACAGTTACAAGATGCCTTACCGTTACAACTACGATAGAATACCCGCACCTAACAAAAAAAAACATTAAAGTACTCCAACTTTTCAAAAATGTTATCATTGGTCAAAACTTTTGAATGAGAGGGAGTTCCTTGGGCTGATACGACATATGGTATGAATTTTAATATGTCATATTTTCTATATACTGCACCTAGAATATACATGTAGATTTTGTACAAATATTATTTTAAAAGCATTTTTAAAATTACCTCATATGGCAAAGATTTGTGTTTGTATAAAATAAATTCTCCCTCCAAGAAATTGTTGTAATACCTGAAAAAATTAAATAAAAGTGATGAAGAAAAAAATTATGTGATGAAGAAATTTCCATCACAGGGTATCCAAAAATCTTGTTTTTTTTTTTTTTTAATTTCAGTACAATACAAAAACGTCTGTTTGATTTTTACTTTCTTCCTCACCTTCCATCAAATGTGGTCATGTGTGGATCATTGATGGAGGAGCAGGTTGATGTCTTGTCTCTATCTTTAACTGTTACCTGAGTGTGTAAAAGAGAAAAAATTAAGAGACATGCATTTCTTCCAAAGTATTTAAATTTTGGTTTGTTTCATTTATCTGTACTTAGCAGCCATTGCTGAATCTACTTCCAATAATGTCTATATTCTGCAAGTTTTTTGTTTAAATTTCATTATGATTTTTTTAAAATAAATTTTATCTATTCTGCTAGTTTATAATGCCAATTTCTTCCAATACATTTACCTCTACAGTGCTTATCTGTTGATTGAAGAACTCAACAGATTGTACTGCCATAGTGACATACACACGGACATTTCTTTTCTTATCTTTGTCCTTGAGACTGTCTATCGTGGCCTTGACTGGAAGCAGCAAACCCGAGTGCCAGGTATCCATGGTGATTAGATGTGAGCATGGTTTTGTGTAGGTGTTGGATTTGTACACCCCAAATACGACCTGTGTGATCTCTTCTCCTGAACTAGGACATTTAGTTTCTTTCTCTGTAAAACAATTCAGTAATACTGAGAAGCAAAATTCAATATGAAGTTTGGAAACAAAAGAAAATTATTTTTTATATTATACACATATGAACTGTATATCAAGCAATTTACATATTACAGATTTTTTCTAAGGATTAATGCTCGTACATGTAATTGGAGTCAAACAACCTCAACTAGTATGTGAGAAATATTCATCAAATCAATTACCATCTAATCTAACAAATCCATAGACACCAAAGATGCTTGTTTCATCTGCATAAACTTTTTCACAGAGCAGTCTATAATGTACATGCTGATACTTTGTGGTAAATTTTGTTGAGAGAGAGCAGGTGTACCTACCTTTAACAAGTACAGTGGAGACACCTATTTCACAATACTTCTCCCTGTCCTCTTTCTCACAGAACAGCCTTGGAGGTACAGTGCAGGTTACTCTGATGTTAGTGGGGGATGCTCCTTCATATGTCGTTATCTTTGTTTCACTCAGCTGTAAAAACATGACTTAAAGTTAAACAAAAATGCTAAACATTTTAGGAATTTGTTTCCTACACAATTACATCTAAAATTTCATTCAAAATACTTTCAGAAAAATAAATTATACATTTAAATTTTTTAAAAATATTGAGACCTCCAAATGAGAATTAAATCCCCTTTTATTAGAAAATAAGAGTTAACTCCCCTTGTCCAACAAACACACCACACATAATAAAAAAGCTCTCTCTTGAAGAGTTAAGATTTACTATTCTCTCTTAAACTCATTAAAGCTTTATAATATATGTTTCCTGGTCTGTTCTACATTACCTGGACTTGGGCTGTCAGTATGACACTGTCCCTCCATGGACCTCTTGTGTTCTCACAGTTTCCTTGTTCACAGGCAGACACACTACATTTTATCTGAAATAAAATGTAATAAATTTTTTTTTGAATTTCTCCAGCATGTTGCACTCATATTTGGAAAGAAAAATATAAACAACACTTAGCAAAATTTTATTGACAAGATCATCAGCTTGAAACACTACTATATTCTAAATTATTAAGATGGACTACTAATTTAATATCTTTCTAGATAAGGAATAAAAATTCTCATCCTTTTCTTTTTATTCTTGTTATGTTATTGGAAACCAATATATATATATATATATATATATTTTTTTAAATATTCCCCTTCCTATTATTGTGACAAATTTTTACACACATTTAACCTTCACTCTTTCATTATAAACTTGACCTGACTAGATTCTTCTTTGTAATCAGTACCTTGTCCCCATACACAAGCTGTGTGATGTAGCTTTCATTCATGGAGCTTTCAGTCTGATCGTCTAGTACTTCCTCCTTCAGTTGTTTATCATTGAGGTACCATTGTACAGTATACTGTAGATTTGGGATCTCTAGTTCTTTAAACCTGCACAGGAATTCCGTTTCTTGGGTTGTTCTGTTCACAGTTATATCCAAAGATGGTGCTTCTTTGAACTCGGGAGGTTCTGTAAACATGGGAGAAAAACTTACACTCACTATAAAAAAACATTTGTCTTCTTGCACTTTTTTAAATCCTGAAGTTGAAAACTATTCAGGTACATGTATTTTGTGTTTAAGCATATACATGTATAATTTTAATTGTCCCTTTCAGTACTTTTTTAATCTTTTCAGTCAGTGTATTTAAGATTGACCTGTGTATAATAGCTTACCAATCCTGACATCCAACTCCTTAACCACATCAGTGACAGCTTCAGCAATATCCCATCCCTCTATCACAATATTGGAGAAGTATTTCTTCTTTATAGAACAGCCAACATAAAACTTCCTATTCAGATTCTTAACGCTTCTCTTATAATATTTCTCCTTTCTGCTGACCAAAACACCATCCAAGTAAAGCCGGACTCCTAGCTGTACACTCCAGGAGAACTGGATAGCCATGAATCTGTTAACTGTGGTGAATTTTGTACTAACTGTCCAGATCTTAGAGGAAGTGCTTATGGATAGGTACAGCCTCTTTCTCTCATACCACATGGCCATTCCATAATAGCCTGGCTCATCTCCACCATTGGAAAAGATGTACATTTTCTTAGAGAACTTGATTACTTTTAGGTTGAATTTAACAGTAAGTCCCAATTTACAGGTGTCTAGGTTTCCTATACACTGAGTGGTCTGGTCACCCATGTCCACAAACTGGTCATTGCCGTTTAAAAGGAGGGCCTTTGCACCAGTAGGACCGGTGACAAAACCAGGAGAACCAAAGAGGGTGAAGCGAATGTTGACGGTGAGAGTATACAGAATGTTACCTACAAGTCTCAGAAAGCCATACCTCCTTACTGTTACTTCTGTCTCTGAAAATTAAATTTCATGCACTGTTAATTGAATTATTTGAAACATATTCTTTGAAAATTGTACAAGAAAAATTTTCACATAAAAATGCAAGAATGGAGTTCTGCAAGTCCCTACCGTATATACTCGCCTATAAGTCGGATTTTTGGGAGTTAAACTTTGGTCCAAAAACTCTATGTCCGACTTATAGGCGAGTTATAAGAAGATTGGTATTCTAGAAGGTCAATTCCTCTAATATAAGCTTAAAAAATACAACCGACTTATAGGCGGACCGACTTATAGGCGAGTATATACGGTAGGTTTCTTTTTCTTGACTTTGGATCGATCATTATACTTGCTCACTCTAAGTATAGCACAGTGTAATACTACATTCTGTTAATCTAAAGAAGTTGAGATTAGTTACATGTTTCTACAATATGGCAGGACTGCATGTCCAAGGACAAGTATTCAATGTAAAAGATAATGTGATGCTCAAATCAACAATAAAGTTAGGACCACTGACTCTCTTTGCAATATGCCTTAGAATGATTCAGATATTGATCCTGAAGTTCAGTGGTACAAGTACATGTATGTTTTCAATAAAAGGTTGCACTTACTGGTGAGAACACTCCATGTGGTTGTATTCTTTTGAGTGTAGCACACTTGCTTGATATCTCTGGGATTGACATAACCATCTTGGTAGCATATACCATTGATAACACAGACATCTTGCTGTCAGTAAAAAAGAATCTACATATTACAAATGAATGACTTTAACTGTAGTTAAGAATTCTGATAATTTATTGAAATTCATGCTTTTGAACCATTATAATGACTTCTTATATACGACTCATATCCCAATATTAGAAAAAAAAATCATCCTCTGAACAGGTTAAAGCAAACTTTATGTGGAATCGTTTGTGATGGTCATAGTTTACATGCAACCAAAATTATACTGTTCTGTCGGGATGCAATTGTATATACAGAATATTCAATGACCCTGTCTATTGAGAAATTTATTGTTAGTGAGGATGCAAAAGCTACCCATGGATATTGGTCCTCCATGAACAATGATGATTCGACAGTATTTTGCATTTATCGTCTGTAAACACAAGTAATGGTAATTCAAAACTGAGGTTAGTTTTTTAACAGACTTACCCTGGGGCTACACCGAGTCAGGGTGCAGGTCTCACACAGGGAGTTGTACACCACCAATTGTAAGCGTCCACTGACCTTGACCCCATTGTTACTGACCCTTAGTTCATACAGACCACTGACTCCCGCCCAAGGACACAAAATATTGTCCTTATTTACATAGACTGCCAAAAGCTTCAGTTCTGTTCCCTGTCAAATTCAAAGGACATTTATTATTTTACTTTGAAAAAATGTAGAAATATTTAAACATTCCAAGTTAAATATGACTTTAAATGATTGACACGGAATGAAGTATCAAAAATGGGGATTGCTTGTTATACATTTACAAATGCTGCTGTGCTGAAAGAAATATAGAAATAAATGGTTTGGAGTCAGAAACAAGGTTTTGGTAAGATGCTGATGTCGAGACACACCGAGTCAACCATGTATGCATAGTGAATGACATACAGCTTAAATTAATTGAGTTGACATTAAAGTAGATCTTTATCTTGGGACTGTGAATGTATGACAAGAAAACCAGGGTAGCTGAGATTAAAGATAATATCTGATTTCATTAATCATTTAAAAAGGCACTGCAAATGATAACTGATACATCCTTTGTTTTCAAAACAAGAAACAGAAGATCATCTGTAAATAAAGTATAGTTCAGTAATTTTTTTCTTTAATTCAAAAAGCTGTTTTCCAGTTTTGATAGCTTACATTAGCCAGGAAGTAGTGACAAGTGAGCCTGTCTCCATCTACGAAATCTGCCCCATACACTACAAGATGTTTGACCACACCCACACTGATGTCTATCAAGGTCCCACCCTGAATGGACTCCAGTTCTGGGGGATCAGTCTCCGCAATAGAGCAGTCGTCTCCAACAAAACCGGTGTCACAGTCACACACTCCTGGAACAAAATAAGGCACACTGTGATTCCTAATCTATAACAGTGACTCCATCGTCAGATATCCACCAGAAATTTTGAGAAAAAGCTCATTCAAAGTGCAAGAGAAAAGTGCTCTTTACTGTATGTAATGTTTCATGATTTAATATGAAGAGAAATTAAATACTGATGCGTTTGTATTTTATAATTTTACAATTAACAAATGTTTTTTTCTTTGAATTTATCCGATGTCAATGAACTGTATGATTTGAGCTCAGTAAATTCATATATACATTTCCTACAGATGCTTCATAGTCTACCTTCATTGCATTTTCCATTTCCACTACAGTCTGCTGGACATATAGCTCCAAACACGTCCTGTGGAGGGACTAATTCTCCTCCTACGGTGACCCAGATAGTGATGTTGAATACAATCTCAATCTGACATTGCTGGTTTACATTCTGTAAAGTCTCAATAGCCCAGTCTCGCTCATCAGTCAGCTGAAATCAGATTGTCAAAATAAAATACATCAGTTCAAATTAAGTGATTTGAAAGTTAAAAAAAAATAATGAAAGGAGATCTGCTTTTTTCAATTACTTACAAAATAAAAAATACTAAATCGAGTCATTTTATTCTGTTAACCGAACCATAGTGATAAAACCAAGTCTTGGGTTAACTATACAAATTTGATAATTTTTTCACAGAAGTGTAAAAATGAAGTGGACATTGAACGTACCTGAATGTCCTCTATACAGTTGTCCAGAGCTACATCAAGCTCTACATTATTGACTTTCTGACAGAGGCTACCAGAGGCAGACAGGGTAACGTAATTCCTACAGTATAAAGTGGCCTGTTCCAGGGTGATTCCATTGGGGGTTGGCCAGCCTAATTCCTTCAATAAAATAAAAGAAGATAGTGACACTTGCTTCTTATTTTTACTGCAGCTACATGTATAATATCTGAAATGTCATACACTAAGAGTCAAACAATATTCTCTGTAACTGTGCATTGCAGTGTATACATATCCTAGGAATACTTACAGGTCCAACATGAGTGGCATTGTACTGGAATAACACCTGGGGCTCCTGAAGGAAACACTTGGTTGTCTCCACGACATTATTTGATATTAGCTCGGCTGTGATGTCCTTCCCTACAAAAACATAGGTAATCAAAGATTACGAAGCTCACCTCGACAAATGTTATGTTCATGTAAAACAAAATCTCACACCTCAATATATATATATATACCGTCAGGTTAGGTGGGTCTAGAAGATTTGTTAACTGAATCAGCCATCAGATTACCTATTTCTTAAAATTTTCACTTAAACTAAATTTTGTGTCTGATATGTTATGTCATCTTTGTTCTCTCATTGTTATCAACATTGAAAAAATGTATGACATTGGAAATATTTGAAAATCTATAAATTGGGTAGCATTCCCTTAAAAGTGGAGGGAATAATCAGGTTAATAAGCTGTTAGTAGTTTTTATAAAATTTTATAAATGGTAAATATTGAGGTTAATGAAGCATGACTGATATTCAGGAGCAGTGACCATTTAACCTTTATGTGGACAAATTGCCTGAAGGCATAATTAGAGAAATCTAGATGTTCTAGATGTTTAAATTATATTTCTTTAATAAGAAAATTAGTAGATCAGTCTAGAAAAGTATTGTTTAAAGAATTATGGATTATTCTGGATATTATCACATTTCATATATAAAGCATTTGCCTTCATTCATGGATATCTCTGTTTAAAAAAAATCTCAAGAAAACAACAATCAACAAATATCCACACAGATTTGAATTTTCATCAAATTGAACCAGATTGTAAAAGCAGCAGAAAAGGTAAGTACTTACTTTTTTATTTTTCACATATGAATTTGAAACAATGTGACACCAACATCTTATAAAACATAAAAGAAAAGTCTTGATATGATGTCTTCCCATCTTTAACTTACTAAGACTGTCTAAAAGGAACCACTACCATTCAACACAAGAACCACTTGAAAAAAGATGAAGAAAAAGGAGAAAACAAAACAAAATAAAAATTTCATTACTTGTTCAGTTCAGCACCATATCAGATGGTTATAACCAAATTAAAATGGCTCGTTACAACACATTCAATTTGGTAATAAACAACAAGTCTGACAAATTTTAACTTCTGAAGTCCAAAAATTGAACATATACCATTGTATAGCCATGACACTGTGTTGTTTTAAAAGACACTGGCTCTGGTGACAAGTTCACAAGCATCAAATGTTAAGTTTTAGTCTTTTCAAAAAAAAAAATATGCAAAAAAAAAAATCAAAACTGACCCATAATCTTTGTCAAGTAGTTGATGCATATGTACATGTGTACAAGCTTCTACAATCCCTCCTTTGTGGAGACACATTACAGCCCAGGAAAGTTTATATTTTCAATCTCTGCCAATTTGACCTTGTCCAAATGACCTTGACTTCAGTACTGTTATATTATTAGGTCATAGAAACTTTTTTTGAGCACAACTCCCAAATATCTGTGAAGATATGTTCCAGAAATGAACATTACACTTTTGTTCCACATGTCCATGTCCAAAGATATTGGATAGGAATTAAAATAAACCTGCTAAACATATTAGATAATATTTGTACCTACGATTAGCTTTTTACTCCGATAAAATTTTATGGAAAGACACTAAGTGTGATTGAAAATCATGATTACTATACAACCCTACAGTTCATTCTGAAAAGTACAAAATAAATAACCCAAACAATGTATATATAAAAATTATTTAGATATAATTCTCCTTTCAGAACAAAATGGAAGAAGCAAAGAAAACATTAGAAGATGTGAGAAAAAATTTGAATGTAATTTCTGAGTCAGAACTCCTGATTCTTGGTTGCATATTGAAAATAAAGAGAGGGGATAAGGATTGGGAGGCAGATTTACAGACAACAGCCAGAAAAATTAAGGCCATCAGCAGAAGCATATCTTTTAAGCTAAAGAAAATTGAACAAGACATTGAAAAAGTCAATGGTAAACTAGAAAAAAGTACCAAAGAAAACATTTCATTGAAAAGAAAACTGGAGGCAACAGAGCCTCAGCTCAAGAAATGTAAACTTGAGATGGCCTCACTAAAATCAAAATTGGATGAAACTCAGTCAGAGCTACAGAACTTTACCCAAGATGACATTTTTGAAGATGTAGATGATACACATCCTCCTGGAACACAAATAAAAGAAGTAGACGAATCACAGATTGTGTTATTTGAAGGTTCTGCTAGACCCTCTACAGATTCAGAATAAATTAGAAACTATGGACCAACAATTAAAATGAATCTCTCAAAGTGCATTTCAATATATCTAATAAATAACATTAATTTTAAAGTCCTTTGGTGTTGTTTGTTCTTTTTCACTTGGAAAAAAATTAGCATGTTTTAATATGATGTTGGTGGCACTTTTCTGGTTTTCAAATATGCAAAGACAAATAAGAGTACTTTATATACAAGTATGCAAATTAATTGAGAAAGGTATTTGAGTCCTTCATTATCTCTTTCAGAAGATAATCAATAAACATGGCTTCACAGAACTACATAGGAAATGAAGCAGATTTCATGTGCAAAAAATGTGGAAAGCCATATAAAACAAAAATTGGCTTAAAAAAACACCAATGTGCAAAGTGTGAATCGTGTGGACAGGTCTTCTGCTCAAAATATAATTTGCAAAGGCATAAATGCCAATTTCTCTCAGCATCTGTACATAAATGTAACCAATGCGCAAGGATTTACAAAAGTGAAGCAAATCTTAAGAAACACAGTTGCCCATATTGTACAACATGCAATGTATTATACAGCTCTTTTCAAAAGTTTAAACAGCATATATGTTGCAAACAGAGCCTATCCCTGAATCCAGAAGAACAATATATCAATGTTGAAAAAAAGGAAATCAAGCAGAAGTCCCTGGCAACTACCAGTAAAACCAGCAAAGTTGAACACATTTATAATGAACCACCTTCTGTTCTAATTTTTAAACCAATATCTATTGACTGGCAATGTCACCTGTGTGCAATTTTTTCCATTGACAACCAAATGTACCCCTTTTTTCCATCAACCAATGAGCAACAGCTGGTTAAGCCTGGTCAAACATACTCTACAATTCCAGATGGAAACTGCTTTTTTCGGGCAATATCGTATTCAATATCAGGAACTGAAGGCCATCATCTCTATATAAGACAGTATGTATGTAACTACATGAGACATATCGAAGCAAAATTAGAATCTTTGATAGGAAATATATCCATAAGTGAATACATAAGAAAGACCAAAATGGATAAGAACAAAACATGGGCTTCTCAAGTTGAAATTTTTGCTATGGCACATCTTCTACAGACTGATATATACACATATACCAAAAGTGGACCAAGGTGGGCATGGCTAAAATTCTCAGGACAATTCATAGAACCAGAATTTCAACTGCATGATGGAAACATATATCTTTATCACAAAAATCTAAATCATTATGATGTAGTTTTAAGCATGACTTCAGAACCAAACAATCAACAGGGAACAGATGGCCAAAATTGTGAAAAAACAAAAGATGAAAAACTTTTATTTGACTATTTCAAGTTTCAGCAAATACAACAAAGTAGAATCGATTCTGAAAATAGAGATGCCATAGTGCACAGTACCAGAAAAAAAGAAAGAGAAAGGAAAAGAATTCAAAGAATGGACCCCAGGTACAGAGAAAAGGAAAACAAGCGAAAAAAATCATCTTTGATAAACAGACTGAAGGAAAAACTCCATAAACAACAGAAGAGGGAAAACAATGAACAGCGAATTAAAGAAAACATGGCAAAGCACAACTCAGAGACAAGAAAGAAGAATGCATGTTTACATATGCAGGTTATACGCAGAAAAAGTGAGGAAAGAGAAAAGGAGAATGCGGCAAAACGCTCCTCTATCACGAACAGACAGAGAGAAAGAAATCATAAAGTACATGTAAGACTTAATACTGAACAAAGAGAAAAGGAGAATGTGGCAAAACGCTCCTCCATCACAAACAGACAGAAAGAACGAAACCATAAAGTACATGTAAGACTTAATACTGAACAAAGAGAAAAGGAGAATGCAGCAAAACGCTCCTCCATCACAAACAGACAGAAAGAACGAAACCATAAAGTACATGTAAGACTTAATACTGAACAAAGAGAAAAGGAGAATGCGGCAAAACGCTCCTCCATCACGAACAGACAGAAAGAACGAAATCATAAACAATATTTAAGAATGCATGGTGAGCTGAAGGCAAAAGAAAATGAAAGGAAACGTTCGTCACTAGCAAATCGTGAAAACGAAAAATTACATAAACAGAATAAAAGAAAAGATTTGGATTTCAGAATCAAGGAAAAGTGTGCTAAAAAACATAAGAAAGAGGGCACTGTGGAGAATTTGATTACAAGTTTTTATAATGCAGTGAAGGAAGGTCCATCCTACATCTGTACATGTTGCTTCCAAATGTGGTATAGAGATGGTGTAAGGCTAGCTGCAAGTTTGCAGGTATCTGAAAACTTAAGATTTAAAATATTGAATTCTTTAAAAAGTTTTGATGAAAAAGAATGGATATGCCAGACCTGCTGTAGATATGTTGCTAATGACAAACTACCACCATGCTCCAAATGTAATGGGATGTGCTTTACAGATAGACCAACCGAGCTAGATTTGACAGAAGTGGAAGAAAAATTAGTATCCCTGAGGATCCCATTCATGCAGCTCCATGAGCTCCCACGAGGAAAACAAATAAGTCTTCATGGAAATGTTGTCAATGTCCCTTCAAATTTGAATCAAACAGTAGCAAAATTACCACGAGTACTTGATGAAAATTTTACAATACCCATGAAACTTAAAAGAAGACTTTCGTATAAGCATCATGTTAACTATCAAACAGTGAGACCTGAAAAAGTCATCAGAGCAGTAGAATGGTTAATGTCTAACAGTAATTTTTATAAGGAAGCGGGAATCACATTGGACCACTCTTGGAAGTGTAAAGAACTGGAATCAGATTGTACTGAGAAAGAAGAACACAAAGAAGATGACTGGAATGAGGTACCAGAAGAGGATTTACCTTGTGGTACTCTTGACACTCTTCTTCAACCTCAGGATCTTGAAACTGAGAGAGC